GTTTTCTATATATTATTGTTATTTTTCTATACTCCCAACTTACTGATTACTGCCAAACTAAACCCAAGTACTTTTTTATATTTTTTTTTACTCTTTCAATAGGTAGTATTAACATATAGATAAATATTTATAAAAAATAATAAAATATTTTTATAAATTTATAGCTAAAGATAAATAAGCTCCTTGATATGAATATATACATTTTAAAATAATTATTTTTAATAAATTATTTGATATTTCAAAATTCAAAAATACAGGCTAAAAAAGACTTATAGTTTTTGATAATCTTATTAGTGAACCTTTATTAACTCAATTAAAAATTATACCTTTCTTTAAATCTGAAAGACATGAAAATATTAGTGTAATCTATATTATTCAATGTTACTTTGAAATACATCCTAATATTCAAACAAATTTAACTTATATTTTAATATATTATGAATTTGAAACATTAGATAATATAAAGTATATTCTTAAAGACATGTATGATGATTATGAATCTCTAGCAAAAAAAGTTTATGAAGTAATAAAATATTATATAGTTATTGATATTTAAAGATATGTTGATAATTTTTTATCAATTCGAGATATTGTAAATAAAACAAATCTTTTATATCAAATAAGAAAAAAGTAAATATGATTTAATTATTTTAAATCCATTTTAGTATTTTTAAATCTTATAAAATTAGATTTTGATTTAATATTAGTAAAGCTATATATAAGTACATTGCTATTTTTCCTATTGCAATTTTTCTGTATATGTTTATATATATATATCAAATAATTAATATTACTATATAACAAAAATAATAATAGAAAAAATCTGATACTTATTATTAACTAAAATCTCACCAGTGCATATTGTACCTTCTGTTGTAATATCTTAAATCAAAGATTTTGAATTTTACTTATTTGCAATAATTGATAATATTTTATTTTCTTTTATTATTAGCTTATTTTTTATATTTGATATATTATTTATTAAAAATTTCTGTTTAGTTAAAGGTGTATCTATTGCTAGTTTATTTTTTATATTAGATATATCACTTGTTGAAGACTCCTAGTTAGATGTGAAAATATTATTTTTCTCATCTTGATTTATATTTTTTTTATGTACAAAATATTGACTGAGATTTTTACTAAGTTTATTAATTACAGATATATTATCAGACTTGACTATATTTTTTTTTGTCATCTTTATCAATTATTGTAGAACAATGAATTTTTGACTTTACAAGTTTCAATATAATCTCTGATTTTAGATATTCCAATTTACTAACTTTAGAAATTAACTCTTATTTTACTTTAGCTATTTTAGACTTGAGAGATATTATCTTAGATTCTTTTTTGATAAGTTATTTTGAATCAAAATTATATTTTCTTAAGTTGAAACTAACTTATCTTTTAATATCTTGATCATAAACTTAAGTAATTTAATTTTTTCAGATTTCATGATATTCTTAACATTAGATTCAACAAAAAAAAGATCTTTACAAATATTTTCAAAAATACGATTAGTATTTTCAATTTTCAATCACTTAGTCTTATCAATAAATTTTAAAATGTGAATATGTAACTTCTGTTTCTTACTATTAATATTATCAAATATACTTTTCTCTTCCAATCAAAATCTTTTATTTGCTTAAAGTATTTAGATTACAATCTTTCACTAAAGTTATTAATTTTGATTTTGGATTTGATAGTATTATATAATCTCTTTTCAAGCTTTTGTTTATATATATTTTCAAACCAATAACCTTTAATATTTTGTAATATATATGTATTAGCTATATTAACAAAACTAGCTTCATTAATAATTTCTATAATTATATAATGATATTTAATGTTAAATAATGTTAACTATTAAAAAATAATATTAAATATTATGTGTCTTAATATTGGTTTTACTATTGAATTCAGCTATATAGTAATTATTTTATTTATATTTTAATTTTTCTATGATGCAGAAAGTCTAAAGGTATTATGTTTTTTGAATTACTAAAACTTTATATTCAAATATGAAAACTTAAAAAAAAATATATCATTTGATAGCTCTAGATTAGTTTTGACAATTTAATATATTTTTTTTTAAATATTTTTAATAATAAATTATTAAGTAGTTAAGTTTAAAAATAATGTTTTGATATATAAATAAATAAATTTCAATATTAAAAAATTGTTTCTGATTGGTCATATTTTTTATATAAAAATGTGATTTTGCATTTGAAGTACTATAATTAAGTTATATTTTACATAATACGTAATTTAATTTAATTTAATTGTCATTACCATTTTATCATAAAATAAATACAATAAATCAAACTTGAAATAATATAAATATTTTTTTATTTAAAGTAGAAATGAAAGGTGAAAAGAATCATTTCATTTAAATTGAAAAACTAATTCTAATTATTTTAAACAAATTCAATAATTATTTTATTCTAAATAATCAAATTCCTTCAAAATACTTTTTGGAATGTGACAATGTGACTAATATTTTCTTATCACAAAAATAGTAGCCTTCTCTAAAAGTCCTTATTTATATGTACTTATATATCAGTTAGAGTGGTATACAAATTGATGAATCTTAGTTAATGATACAGAATCTAAAGTATGTAGAATGGTTTATTTAAAGCTTTTAAAAGTATAATCATAATGTAAACATGTATATCACTTTATATCTTTCTAAAATAACTTAATGTAATTGAGTTTACAGTTTCATTTGGAATAATAAATATACATATATTCAACAGTTTTAATAATTTCTTGCAGTGATTTTTTTGAAATATAAAATTAGATTGTTAATTGAGAATCTAAATTACATAACATTGTGAATTTGTTGATTCATTAACATGTGATTTATATAAATTATATTGTTTCACCAATTCAGCTACTCACAAACTACACTCTTCAAGAATTGTCAGATACCTTTTGATTTATTATACTATTAACATCTATAAATATTATAATATGAGGAGAACCATTAGGCATTTTGCTATTACAGAGAAGTAATTATTTACTTCTATCCTTTAGATTCATTTTTGAAACTACTAAGGTATCTTCAGCATATGCATACTATTGTTGAATATAAAAAGTATGACTTTTCTAGAATGCATTCTTTCAAAAATAGAAATGATTTTTTCAATTATTAGATTTATAAGGTCTTGATTTATTCACTAACTATTTTGATTAGAACCTAAATATATATTAACACATGTCTCAGTTTACAAAAGTCATTGATCTGTGGAAAGTAAATTATTTGTAGCTTGTTTTTTTTCAAAAGACAAAGACGTTCAATTGATTTACAAATAAAATCACTTATATGAATACTTAGCTCTTGTGACTTATATCAAAATTAGTTTTCTTGTATAGGATCCACATTTTAACAACACCATCATTAGCATGAAGGATTGATTCATTGTGAATAACTGAAACAAGCTCATGAAAATTAGGTAGAAATACTGATGAAATAACTTGTTTTATATTCTCTCCTTTATATATTGTAATTTGAGATTGCAAATTAGCCATTTGTTTAATAAATTGATTTCAATACATCACTATATAATCACACTTATGACTATCAAAATAAATATTTTAGAATGGTCTTTATAGTCTCAGCTAAAATAGTGCAACTACATTTGTACTATTACTTTGGAAATTGTTTTTTTTGTTTCAATTTCTAAAGTGAAAATTATTTTTTTTTCAATAAATTTTATAAATTAGTGAAAAGTTAAAGAAACTTATTTGTACATAAATATTGAAAAATATGTAACTCAAAGTTTTCATGATGTAAAAGGAACTTAATTTTTGAATGCTAACTATAACATGATACAAGAAGCTTCTTTGCTGTTTTTTATTGATTTGCTTATAAACAAATAACTCATATATACCATGAACTTTGATTAACATTTTGAGTTAGAAGCTCACTAGCTAAATATTTTAAAAATCTCTGATTTTGGACAAGATGAAAAAATTAACTTACTGTACAAAGTCACATGTCTTCAGATTTTTTTTAACAAGGTGTCAAGGAGTATCAAAGTAAATTCATTGTTTTCATCATCACTAGAATCTACTTCATCAAATACTTCATCAAATAAAAACTGGTAATTATTATTTATTTCACTATTAATGGAAATTTTTTTAGATAACCAAGTGTTATTTTTCTGGAACTTTTCTACAAATTACTTTTTTGTTACACAATATTGATTTGACAGTTCCAGTATAAAATTGTTTTCACACTTTTGTTTTCCATATATTTGATTATTTTGTCTTTTTAAGAAGTATATCAAATGTATTGGACTTTATTTCTCTTAACTCCTTTATAAACCGATTATCACTTACAGGCTCATCTTCATCATCTAGCTAAAAAGGTTTCAAGTCAGATTCATCTAATGCCTTTATGTTAGTTTGTAATTTCTTCCATGTTTATTAATAGTTTCCAAATACTGTATGATACATTTTTTATGTTTAGGTTATACTTGCACATAAAATTATTTTGGGATCCTGAAATTACAATTTCAAAAAAAAAAGTCAAAATAGTTTTTCATAGAAGATGAAATTATTTTACTTAAAACCTGAAATTTTTTGATCACCCAGATTTATTCTTTGATTAAATATACATATAACTGGATACTTTTTTTATTTTCATATATAGAATAAATTCTGTATAAATCTCAAAAAGTCGAAATACCTCAAAAATCCAAAATCAATTTTGAGAACATGTATAGTCTAGATATAGTTAAAGAGAATAGATTGGAAAACATGTTGCAAAGAAAATAAATTATTATAATAATTTCAATAAATTCCTTAAATAAATTTCTTAAATAAATCTCTTAAATAAATTCCTTAATTCTTTAAAAATTACAAAAAAATAATTAAAAATACCTTCTAAATAAAACACTCACTAAATAGTGAGACAAATATAAGTGATGAAAGACTACATTGTCTCTTGAATTGTTCAAGACAAGGTTTCGAATTGTTCAAGGCAAGGTCTTAAATTGTCATTGGCAAGGCTGGTATGAAATATTACAAAATAAAAATTTTGTCAAAGTTTTTTTTTTTTTATGATTTTATTTCTTGGTAAGATACATTTTGTGTGACAAACTTTATTAACTTTATTACTAATAAAAAAAAATTCCTGCATGTGAAAATAATGTAATATATAATCTCAAAATTTCAGTGATGTAATGTCTTTAGACTTTCTACACCATAGTATTTTGAGAATAACTACCTTACTGTTTATATTTCTTTTAATAAATAAGAGTTTAAATTCTTATGTGAAGGTGTTGAGAAATTCTTCGTAATTATTAACTTATTGTTTTCTTCATAATTGCAATGCATAATTACCAACTTATTGTTTTTCTTATAGTTGCTAACAATTTTAGAATCATATAATTTATGACAGTTTGTATAAACAGCTATTCTTAATTTTGGTTGAAAACTTTCTAACATCTTTTTTAACTTAATTCAACAATTAGTTACAGTATATTATTGAGCCAATCATATTGGATGTATTATATTATGTCTAAATAAATTAATAAATTATTTTAATTATTGTTTTTATTATTTTTATGCTCTTTTATGATACTTAAGATCATTCAAAGTTATGAAAATTTTTTCTCCCACATTAACAAATTCAGGAACTTGAACTTGAATTCCACCTTTTATTTCAATAACTTTTTGAGCTGGACCTAATATAAATAATAATATAATAATAATTTGTTTGACATTTACACAGAAATATAATTAATAAAAGATAATAAATTTTTAATACAAACCTTTAGTAGAATGACCAATCTTTGGAGTATCAGATACCACTGTGTATGCATACATCAAAGGTAGACGAATTGTAACAGGCTGATTATCTCCTTCAGATTCTATAAAGGCAACAGTTAAATTCATATTATCTAAAAGTTATGATAAAAGATTTAAAAGATATTAGCATTAATTTCAATAATTTAAGAAGTTATTTCTTAATTAATATATTCTTATTTACCATCTAAAAGTTTTAAAGATTTCTCTCCACCTGATAATAAAGATACAAACATTTAATAATAATAAACATAAATATAATTAATAATCATTAATAAAAAATTTTAAAAAAATACCATCCAATTTATCTGACTCTATTTCAAGTTCTTCATATGTATCCATATTTAAAAGATGTAACATATTGCCATCAGAATATAAAAAATTATAGTTTTTTTCTTTAATAGTTACCACTAATGAAAATTTTTATTAATTTACTTTAAATTACATTAAAATTTACCATTGTACTTTCACATGAAATATCAAACCTTCAAATGAATCATTGGGTTTAACTCGTTCTATCAATTTTTGACCAGTTATTGCATCTTTTAACTCGAACTATCCTACCAATGGATATAAAATAAATAAATAAATAAAAATAAATAAATTATTTCAAAAAGTTAATTTTTTTAAACGAACCTTTGTCGTTGATACACCCCGTCCTGTAAAATGAGAATCTACTTTTGTGACAATGAAATGTCGATCTTTATACTCAATTACATTCCCTTTGGATATATCTCTTGTCGCTGTTTTAAGAGAACGTCGCTTAATAAATAAAAAACATAATTTATTGTCAAAGGACCAGAATTAAGTTTATTATAATTTAGTATAATTTATTTACCGCCACATAATTTAATAAGGGTGCTTTGGTTAAGTATATAAGATTGCGATTAAACGCGAACATTATAATTTGGAGATGAATAAAAAAAAAAAAATTCGAAATCATGATTTAAATCTATTGTCATTCTATAGTCACATCTTTTAATAGTCACCTCACTATATACTTTTTTAATGACATTACGTGTTCATCGTGTTCATCTATTGGATAATCAAGTATTTAACAAGAAAATTTCGCGCTCAATTATTTATTAATACTTTTCAATGGGTAAAGGAGAAGGAATTAAAAACTATTACCAGACAAAGATAGAGGAGTCAGAGTTAGTCATAAATGAAAAGACTCAAAATTTGAGACGTTTAGAAGCCCAAAGAAATGCGTTGAATGCTAAAGGTATATAATAATAATAATAATAATAAAATTAAATCTCTATTTTATTAACAATGTAATTATTGATATTAGTTCGACTACTTCGAGAAGAATTACAACTTTTACAAGAACCTGGGTCATACGTTGGGGAAGTAGTTAAACTTATGGGCAAAAAGAAAGTGTTGGTTAAGGTAATAATAAATATTCCTTTAGAAATGTTTGAAATGGTTTCGAAAATAGGTTTGAAAAATATTTTTTGAAAATATTATTGAAAATATTATATTATTGAAAATATTATTTTCGAAAAAAATGATAAAATAGAATTCTATATTTTTTTCATTAATATTATTTATATGTATTACTTTTAATAGGTACATCCTGAAGGGAAATATGTCGTTGATATTGCTCCAGATATTGACATTGCCAATATCACACCAACTTGTCGTGTAGCTCTTCGAAATGATTCGTATACATTACACAAAATTCTTCCTAACAAAGTTGACCCACTTGTTTCTTTGATGATGGTAGAGAAAGTACCAGATTCTACATATGAAATGGTTGGAGGATTAGATAAACAAATTAAAGAAATTAAAGAAGTAATAGAGTTACCTGTAAAACATCCAGAATTATTTGAAAGTTTAGGTATTGCTCAACCAAAGGTATTGACTTTAACAATTAATTACTTTTTTACAATTACGTATTAATTTTTTTTTAATTTTTTAATTTTTTAAATACACATATATCTAACATAAAATATAAATAAAATATATAGGGTGTTTTACTTTATGGTCCTCCTGGAACTGGAAAGACTCTACTAGCACGTGCAGTAGCTCATCATACAGATTGTAAATTTATTCGTGTTTCTGGTTCTGAGTTGGTCCAAAAATATATCGGAGAAGGGAGTAGAATGGTTAGAGAATTATTTGTTATGGCAAGGTTCTATATATTTTACATTTATTTATTTGAATTTTTTTTTTTTTTTTTTTTAAATATATACAATAAAATTACTTTGTATTTAATAAATGATTTTAATATAATTAATTTACTTTTCAGAGAGCATGCTCCCTCAATTATTTTTATGGATGAAATTGATTCAATTGGATCTTCACGTATAGAATCTGGTTCTGGAGGTGGGGATTCAGAAGTACAAAGGACAATGTTAGAATTGCTTAATCAATTAGATGGATTTGAACCTACTAAAAATATAAAGGTAAAGAGAGATATATAAAGGTTGATTATTTTTAATTAATTTTTATAAGAAAATATTATTAATTAATCTTTTAAATAATGATATAGGTCATTATGGCGACTAATCGAATTGATATACTTGATCCTGCACTGTTACGACCTGGTAGAATTGATAGGAAAATCGAATTTCCACCACCATCTGAAATTGTATATATTAATTTAAATAATTTATAATATTTTATTAAAAATTAAATTATTTTATCAAACTTTGATAATAATCTATGTAATTTTTTAAAAGGCTCGCGCAGATATTTTAAAGATTCATTCACGTAAAATGAATCTAACTCGAGGTATTAATCTACGTAAAATTGCTGAAAAGATGACAGGTTCTAGTGGTGCAGAAGTCAAGGTAATTTAAGATCTACACGAATATTATGTATAAATATTTATATATAAATTATATTATAAATAATTACATAATATATTACTTTTGATAGGCCGTTTGTACGGAAGCAGGTATGTACGCGTTGCGAGAACGACGTGTACATGTAACTCAAGAAGATTTCGAAATGGCAGTAGCAAAGGTTATGAAGAAGGGAGAAGAGCAAAACGAAAGTTTACGAAAACTATGGAAATAAAATAAAAAATGAATCTCACACGTAAGTTATAGAAATGATCACGCACACAATGGTTTTGAAAAAGAGTGTTAATTATTTGGTAAAATAGAATTGATATGTTTTAAAATAAGGCAATGAATAATTTAAATTATTAATTAGTAAATTAATCATTAAATAATGAATAATGATAATTATTTTTATTTGTTTGAATAATAATTAAGAACTTAATATATCAATAAGCTATTAATACTTTGAGAGAAATTTTAATACTATATTATATCTCAATCCCAAAGATACTCTGAATAGAAATTTCGACAGCAATTTGAACTCCCTTAAGTTCCACGAGTTTATGAAAAATATGAGGAATTTGATCAATCAATTGATATTCGTCTAATTTTCTCCCTATAAAAATATCAATTTTAATTTGAGTAGATAAAAAGCATTTTTTTTTTAAATTATTGATAAAAAAAATAAAAAAAATTATTCACATTTACTAGGCATTTGAGCAAATAACTGGACATCAGGTTGAACGTGACCAGATGGTGTGATATTTAAATTCCAAAGAAGAATTAGTTCAGGACTAATTTTTTGACTAATACATAACGAAAAGTAAAGTATTCTTAATAAGATAATTCATAATTCAATTCATAAGATAATTCATAATATATCTTCATAATATATCTTCAGATAATTTTCATAGAAAAATTAACAAACCAGTTATCCGAAAATTTTAATATTGAATTTGTGCCAACAAAATTTGCTTTCGTATCTTTTGATTTTAAATAATTTCGTTGTAGTGAATTTGTTAAACGCGAATATTTTTCTCTCAACGCGTTAAATAATAATGTGCGTTGATGATTAAGTCGCGCATATTCAATGAATCCTTTAAAAAATGCGTGTAAATTTCTGGCAAGCTCTACACTGATAAAGATTTTTTATTTTTTTTTTTAAATACATATAAAAATACGAACGATATAATATAACCAATATAACTACCGAAAAAAAAGAAAAACCACAAAAATTTAAATAAGAAAAAACCTTTCTATGAAATCCCCTATTTCTCGCCTACAACTAGGATTAACCTTAACTTTGAGATTAATAATGCAAAGTTCATGTTCGTTTACGTCGAATTCAACTTCGAAATAAAAATCGTATGTGACTCCTGAAATATTATATTTTCTGAAGGAATCTAAGACAATTCAAAAAATTAAAAAAAAAAAAAATAAATTATTTTGTATTTAAAATAAATATAAATATATAAATATACAATAAGAATTACATACCTTGATAACCTTCTGTACTGAATAAATGGCTATTGACGCGTGTCAATTTAACTTTTGAGTATATTTCTAAATATTTTAACTGAAATAAACAAAATAAATAAATATAAATTTACGGTAAAAAAAATCAAAAATAAAAAAAATGAAAATAAAAAAAAAATAAAATATACTTTAAATTACCACATTAGCGTTTGTTCGTAGTCTTAAAAAGATAAAATAACATAAAAAATATAAAAAATTACGTAGAGAATCAATAAACGAACTAAAATTAAAGTAAAAGTCTGCGAAAATGAAAAACGTGATAGTACACTGGATGTTCATTGATAAGTTGTTGGCGAGTAGGTAGATCTTCAATTTCGTGTTCGTTATTATTATTATTATTCTGTTCAAGTCCAATATTTTCATCAGAAATTGACATTAAGCTGTATTCGTCAGCTAAAGTATCTAGAGTTTGCTCAAATGAAGTAGACATTTTACGTGATGGAAATTAGAAAAGTTGTTAGTGTTGAGGTTTGAAAGAAACTAGAAAAAGCGTTTTGAGGTTGAGGTTTGGAACGTGTTGACGTTTTATATAAACATTTTTTTTAAAAAAATTCTATTGGCTTTTCTTCCAGTGACCAATCATAAATTCTATTGGTTGAATATAAATATCAAAAACGAAACTTTTATCCTATAGATAAAGATAATCTATTAACCGTGAAATTCTTAGAAAATTTCTATATCAAGTTAAATAAGTTTTTATGTTTTTTATATTAATAAATAAATAAATATATAAGCATATACATATGTTTAAAATATTATATAAATAACGTGTCAATATATATTATTGCCAATTTCAGAATAATTAATCGTATTTAAAAGTATATCGCCATACTAATATACCTAATGAAACGAACTAATTAAGTAATTAATAAAAATAATAAAGAATATAATAAAGAGAATATAAAAATAATTTAATAATAATAAAGAAATATAATAATTGTTGTTGTTGAGAAAAAAAAATGAAACAATCATGCAGATATCAAATTTAGTATAATTGTTTTCTTTACTTTTAATAGCATATATTTAATGTATTAAATACAAGAAAAATTGGTTGGAAAAAATTCTAAAAAAGTTAAATTCTATTCTTAATATCGTAATGATGATGCAACTTGTTGGCTAAAAAAATGTAACTATGACGAAAATTTGTGATGAATTTGAATTTTCATAGCATATATGATTGTGATTATTTCGAACAAGACATATGAATATGATGAATAGTTTATATCTCGATAATTTTTAAGGAATAACAGAAAAATCCAATGAAATAAACTATTTTCATGACATTGTCGCAATATTGTATATTCATTATATTATTTATTATATTTTAAAAATGTAAATTGAAATACCCCGAATGAAAGAATAATGGTAAATTCTGTAATACCCTAAATGTAAATTCGATGTCAAAGCACACGAAGGTGACACGAAAATGCACAGACCATTTTTGTATCGTATAAAAAAAAAATAATAAGTTATGCTCTAAGATAATATAAGATAATATAAGATTAAAGTTTATGCAAATCTATTGTTTTATTGTTTTTATTGAATTTCATAGTTTTAATTTCATTCTTAATTAATTATTTTAATTATTCTACGATGCATTATTTATTCCTCTTTTTTTTTTATTGTTGATTTATTTGTTACTTTATTATTATTAATATCGAGGAAAAATAAGATTTCCTTTTTTGGGGGCACAGTTGATTTTGAAAAAGTGGTAATTTCATATAGCAAGTATTCGCGTTTCACATTCCCACATGTACAATTTAACCTCATTTTTGAGATGTCGTTACACTTGATCAATCATTATGATGTAATTGTTTAAATATTTAAATAATTAAAAATTCCTTTGCTTAAATACCACTACTGTTTAAAAAACAAAAAAAAAGACAGGTTAATTTCGTTTAATTTCCTAAAATAAAAAAAAAAAACGCCTATAAATACGAACCTTTTTTCTCTCGTCTCTCTCCTTAATTTATAAACTTTAATGCGACTACGTTTAAAATTACTCCTGATATTATTAGTTACAATAAAAAAAAAACTTTATTCGAAATTACTGCCTTTTTTGAAATTTTATTATGAATTCGAACAGTGATTCTTGGAACATTCTAAGCAATGATGGTAAAATTATTATATTATTCTTTATCATTAATTGTTATTTGTTTTCATTTTATTTATATCGTTTATTTTTTTCAATCAACTAATTATCCTTATTGTTATTGTTTATTTCTTTCCTTTTTTGTTCTACAGAGAACTCCAGTCTTTTGTTAGTAGAATACCCAGGTATTGAAGGACTTACTTTTTTCCAAAAGGGGGAGGTGCCAAAAGAGGTGACCGCTTTGACTATTTTATGCGTTCACACTCGTCTCTTTCTTCCCTCCTTCCTCCTTCCCCCTTCACCAACCAACAATGAATATATTAACACGGCCGATTTCTCCACGTCGGAATAATTTCAGATAACGGTGACGGAAATCCTTCCATCGTTACAGAACAAGAAGCTTTTTCCATATCACCGGTTGACAATCCGATTTATTATAACATAGCACCAAGTGATACGGTTATAACAGGATCTGAAGTACAAGACTCAACTAATTTTTCCGTATCGTTAACAGACAATACATTATCACCAGTAATAAATAACACTATTAGACTCCGTAAACGACCAAGACAAGAATCTAACAATGATGATAATTCCGATGAGAAGCGACGAAAATTTCTCGAAAGAAACCGGATAGCTGGTAAAAAAAAAAAAAAAAAAATTTTTTTTCCTTTATAATCAATTTTATTTAATTTAATTTAAAATAATTTTAAAATTTTATTATTAATAAAATTTTATTAATATAGCATCAAAATGTCGTCAAAAGAAAAAAGCTGCTATGGAAGATCTTATGAGTAAATCCGATTCTTTAGAAACTGATAACAATTTACTTAAAACCCGGGTTAACGAACTTCGAGAAGAATTATTATCTTTGAAAGATCAATTACTCCGCCACGAGAATTGTTCATGTAACATAATCCAAGAATACATAGTAAAGTATTATCGACAGCAATAAAATCGTTAATAATTGTTAAGTAATTATTGGTTTAAATTCGAATTCGCGTAATTGATTGATCACGGAACGATAATTTATTGTTCACATTTTTAGGTGCTTGTATTATTTTTATATTATTTCTTTTATATTTAATAAAATTTAATAATAATAAAAAAGTTATAAAATTTCAACAAAAAAAAAACAAACAATTAAAACCACCACTAACCACCCGAACCAATTGAAATACAATTAATACAATTTTATGTTTTGAATGCAATAGATAAATATAAATAAATAATAAAATTTTATCTAAAAAAAAAAAAATCAAGAAAGAAATTTATGAAATTTATGAAATTACAGTGTTTCCCAACCCATCAGCATATTGAAATTCATGAGAATTTTCATGTTCATACATATCCAACGCAATTTCACAACTTTCCTTAACAACTCTTTCCTGATCATTCTTGAATTCTTTTAATACTGGTAAACATTCAGGGGTTGCAATAGATCCTAAAGCTTCAGCAGCTTCATGTCGAACCATAGATAATTCATTCACATTTTTCAATGTTTCAATTAAAAAAGGTACACTAGTCGGATTTTGCATTTGTCCTAATACATAAGCGATCTCATGCCTAAATAAAGCAGATGATGGATCATTTAATCCTTGAGAGAGTATCATGACGGCATCTGTTGTTCCTAAATTTCGTAATGTAAACATTGCACGATAACGTTCAAATAAAGGTAAATTGGTATTAAGAAGGATATCACGTAATTCTGAAACTGATTGAATTTTCGTGTTTGCTGGTGCAGGATCAATTGAAGTATATACACTGTTAATGATTGTGGATAATTGTGGATGATTTACGTAAAAAATTTGATCAAGTCGAAAGAAAATGAAAGAAAATAAAAGAAATTAATAAATAAAATTCATAATAACCTCGTCTGATTTTTTTGATTTTCCGGAATTTCTTTATTTCTCTCATACTTAATTTTTGTTATAGCCAATTCACATGTTTGTCGAACAACGTCATGCTCATCATGCAAATATTCTTCAAGAATATTTAATGACGATGGATCACCGATGGCACCAAGAGCCTCAGCTGCCTGTTTTTTTTATAAAGAAATTGGAATGATAATAAAATTTAATAATTTACATATATAAAATTTTAGAATTCATAATATACCTCGTGCCGAACCATTGGGTCTTCTGTTTTATCGGTTAAAACTGTATTAAGTATTGGAATTGCGTATGGATTTTTTATTTGGCCCAATGCAAAAGCAAGTTCGTGTTTAAGTAATGCAGAATCATCCTTGAATGCTATTATTTTAAAATAATAATAATAATAATAATTTGCAAGCTCGTAAAGGTTTTTTTTTTTCGAAATAAAGATTATCGGAAATCACAATATAAAAACTATCACAAAAATTAAAATTTAATATACCTTTAGCAAGGATATCAATACTTTTAACATCGGCAAGGTTTTTTAAAGTAAAAAGGGCACGAAACCTTTTATGCAATGATATTTGACCATTCTTGTTTGTAATAATGGTTTCTAAATTTTCGTAAGTAGCGGGAATCATGAAAAGTCGATATTTGTGAATATAAATAGATGGATCATCACGATTATCCACAATTTTTTTTTTATATAAAAAAACGAAAGTATCTTAAATCACATATTTGAACAATGAGCACACAAACTTATGAAGCCGAAACTTTTCGTAAATTACAACCACAGGAATACTTGCGTAAATTTCTACTAAAGGAAGTTAGACCTGATGGTCGAGAACTAAAACAATTTCGCCAAACGACAGTTAATTTAGGTAATAAAATATATATATATATATTCATTAATTATTAATAATTTAAATATTATATTTTTAACAATTAAAAAAATATTTTAATTTAACAGGTTGTATTTCAACAACCAATGGCTCTTCCTTGGTTCGAGTAGGCAATACAACTGTTGTATGTGGTATAAAAGCCGAAGTATCAATACCAAGACAAACTTCCATCAAAGAAGGATATTTAGTACCAAATGTAGAATTATCTCCAATGTGTTCTCCTAAATTTAAACCTGGTCCACCTAGCGAACATGCACAAGTGTTAAGTGAAAACATAAATAGATTATTAAAAAGGTAATATATATATATATATGATAATAATAATAATAAATAATAATAATAATAATAATAATTAACAATAATTTCTGATAATTTTTTGTATTTAAAATTTTTTTTTAATCGATTCATTAATTAAACAATATAAAAAAAATGTCAAATTACGCATTTAGTGCATCAATATTAGATTTGAATACTCTTTGTATTCATGAAGGTGCGGCCGTTTGGGTTTTATATGCAGATATAGTTTGTGTTAATTATGATGGAAATGTATTTGACGCATGTGTTATTGGATTAATAACTGCATTATCTAATGGTAAGCTAATTCTTATTTCTCGAATATATGAAATAATTCATTATTATAATTATCGTTATCCCGAAATTTGAAAATTAATTATTCAATTGTTATTTGATGTAATTATAGTAAAACTTCCTAAAGCAACTTTCATAGAAGAAGAAGGCTTGGTTAAAGCTACAGAAGAACTATTAATTCCTCTTAATCTTTCCAGATTACCATATCCGGCAACTTTTTCAATATTTGATGGGTAAGTAAAAAAAGAAATAATTTTATTTTTTATTTATTTTTTGATGAAATTTTTTTCCGCGTATTATCAAAAAGTTTTGTCATGACGAATAAGAGGTCACAGGCAATATTTCTTAGTCGATCCAACCGAAGTAGAGGAATCAGTAGCACACGAAGTAATAACTATTATTTGTGATGAAGCGGGACAAATTTGTACAGTATGGAAGGTAGGAGGAATTTCGTGTACGCCGAAACATTTAAAAAAATGTATTTCTATTGCTCGAGAAAGATACGCTGAAATTGCGGCGATAGTAGAAAACGAAGAAAAATCAAATCAAATCAAATAATCTGATTTAATATAGATATAATAAAATATATATATATATACAGTATATTTATATATTCAGCGAATATACGAGCATATGGAATAAATACATTACATTATAAACAAATATTTTTGTTTCTTATTCAAACCCGAAATTATTCAATAAAGTAACTTTTAAAATTTTCGCTTTACCCAATGATATCATTGTCATGATTATCATGTGACGTGAACTGAACTTATAACTATTTTTTTTTTTAACTTAAATCGTCATCGCCGCACTTTTTCTCATAAAATGATTTCCGAGAATGAGAACGAAATGAAAATTCTTACTAATCCTAATTCCAGTAATTCTAGTAACCTAAATAGTAGTAGTAGCAATTGTCCTAATAGTTCTAATAGTTCTAATAGTTCTAATAGTTCTAATAGTTCTAGTAATTCTGATAGTTCTAGTAAAAACTTAAATTCTATTGACCCCGAAAATTTAAAATTTTCACCTTTTGATAGTTTAAAAATTTCTTCCACTAAAGCACTTCAGACAATGAATGAAAGAGATTCATGTCCTATCTGCAAAAAATCCGTGAAATTTTATTGTTATATATGTTTTGTGCCAGTTGGCTGTCATATAAATGAAATTCCAAAAGTGAAATTACCAATAAAAGTTGATGTGTGGGCTTATTTTATTATATTTTTGTGAATTTTTATTTTTTTTAAAAGAAAAAAAGAATGATTAACTTAGATGATTTTATTCATTTATTTTATATATTTAAGAATTAAACATCATCGCGAAAACGATGGTAAATCTACGGCAGTTCACGCAAAGATTATTGCATCAGAAGATGTAGAAATTTATTCTTATTCACAAATGCCCAAAATTGAAAATCCTGATAGGGTTTTATTACTTTTTCCTTCCTCGGTAAAAAAAAATCTCTAATTATGATCTAATGAATAATCTAATGTTCAAATGTATTAAATCAAATGTTAAAATAATATTAATAATATTTATAATACAATAATATTTAGGAATCTCAAACTTTGCAAAATATTCCTCGTTCATCATTTGATAAACTTTTAATAGTTGATGGTACTTGGCGTCAAGCATCAAGTATGGCAAAAATTAATCCGGAATTAAAGAATGTTCGAAGAGTTATTATCAAATCACAAAAAACTTTATTTTGGAGATATCAAAATAGGGATGAAAATCATCTTGCTACAATAGAAGCTTTATATTACTTTTTGAAGGAATATTATGAAACTTATGAAATCACTCCAGAAATTAAAAGTAATACAAATAATATAAATAATAATATAGATAATAATGCAAATAATAATGTAAATAATAATTCAAATAATAATGCAAATAATAATGCAAATAATACTGAGGAAATTAAAGAAGATTATTTTTATGATGGAAGATATGACAATCTATTATGGTATTTTAAATACTTTTATGAATTTATTCAAGAAACATATAGAAAACAAAAAGGGAAGAAACATTTTACTTCTAGGCAAAGAGCTGGATACATTAAATATGAATAATATTTATACCCAATTATTGCATAATTAATAAATTATAATCTATTTATAAATATTTTAAATATCATTATCTATTCAAGTTGAAAAATCTCTTTTAAAATTCTAATTGTGTCATTAGGATTATTAACAGAATGTCCTGTAACTAAAGGATGAACATAAATTTCATAATCATTACCACCCTATAAATAAAAGTTATCCAGAAAAGAGTTATTATTATTATTATTAACAAAAATATCAACAATAATCAAAAAATCAAATTTCAACCAACTTTATAAGTTTTATCTCCAAAAAAGTGAATTGTTTTAAATCCTTCTGTTCCCACATGTTTGAGACAATAAGTTTTATCCCAACCTGTTGGAAATACATCAAAAGATATTTGTCCCCCTTTAAAAAATTAAAAAAATAAAAATGTTAACAAATAGATAGATATATAAATAAATAAAAATATATAAATGAATATAAAAATATTCTTAATACCAATTGAAAATGTTAGAGAATAATCGGAAAAGGTTTCTTTTAAACAGTCAACAAATTTGGGACGAATACGATGAATCTGTTAAATAAATAAAAAAGTTAAGTAACTTGAAATAAATAAAACTTTATTGAATAAAATAATAAAATAAATAAAAATTTCTTATATTACCTTATCGTATTTTTCAAAGTCATTACGTTCTTCAATACTAATAATAATCAGAAATCAGAATACAAGGAATAACAAAGAATACAAGAGTTTAAGAATTCAGGAATTCATCATAAATAATTACCTGCAGTTACGTCCAATTGGTGATACATTGATCATTCCATTTCTAAATTCAACAAAAGTTCCACTAAAATAGATGTCAATAAAAATTTAATATTTAATCAATCTGAAAAATAATAATAATAAAAAAAAAATTTAAATTAATTTACCGTTTCTTTGGAATGTCAAGTTTAGCGATATATCCAAGAATAAAATTAACCAACGTTTTATATTTCTCTTCTCCGATCCATCCAATAAAACTCTATTAATTAAATAAAATTTTTTAATAATTTTATAAGTTTATTTACTGAATAATTTAAGGAAAGAAGATTGAACCAACTTGAGAAGCCAATTGATTTCCTAATTTATATGCAGTAAGACCATTTTCAGAAAATGCATAATCAAAATCTTCGATAACTATATTTTCATAAATGAATAATAAATTTAATAAATTTTTAATAACGCATATATATGTAAAAAAAAAATATGTAAAAAATATTTATTTACCACTTTCACCAAGTTGTTCTTTCTGTTTACTAAGGTCAGAACCACCAACAAAACCAATAACCACTTTTTTTCTTAGTTTTTTAAGTATTTCCACCATTTCCTCAGTTACAACCTATATTATAAGAAATTGTTATATGAGAGAAATGAATAAATAAATGGAATTTTATGAATTGACAACTCTCACCCTACGAGCGGGAGTCAATGTACCATCTACATCAAATAAAACAAGCGTATCAGGTTTTTCACGGTCTTGCCAATCTCCCATTTTGTTTAAAGAAAAAAATATATATTTGTAAGAAAAAGATTTGATAAAATATTTATGTTAGATGCATATTTATGCAAGTTGATTGATGAAATTGCATTTACATCATTTTTGTATCGTGTTCGCGTAAATTTTATGTAACACAATTCAATTTCAAAAAAAAAAATCAGCTATAAAAAGGTTTTTCTTTTCATTTTCTCTATTTCTCCGTAAAGAAATTGGTATGAATAAGTAAAAAATCGTTCTTATTCATTACTGTATAAAAAAAAACAATGATCTTGCCACCAGTTCAACATGGCGCGACTGTTCTTAATCGAGAATTTTTTCGACGTGTAATTGAAGTCCTGGGAATACGCGTACCAATAAATTCTATTTCGAAATTTCTTAAAATATTGAATAAGTAAATTTTATTTTTTAATTAATACATATTCCTTCGTATATACATTATTGATTTTTTTTTTTAAAAAAAAAAAATAGAGATTTATTCAATCAACCAAAACTAAGAAATGTTGTTGAAGATCCTGAATCAAAGTCAACTAAAATAATTTTATTGAATCCTAAATTTAATAGTTTAGGTACTGTCTAGGTATCATTATTTGGATAAATTTATTAAATATGAATTATTTATTTTATTTTTTTTATATAATAATAATATTTTCATATTCAATTATTCAATTAATATTAGAACTCGATGGATTATCTCAAGAAGTTAATGAATTAATTAATAAAGAAGGACTTGATGTAATTCATCATTCAATTGAATTGAATTATGATTACTGGGGTGCTGGTATTTATATTATAACATACATTATATATTAGTATATTATTTTCGAAAAAAATCAAAAATTAAAAAATTTTGTAATATAAAAAATAAAAAATAAAAGAGAATATCGTATATTAATTAATTTATTTATTTATTTTTATTTATTTAATTTATTACGATGATTTTAACAAAAAAAAATAAAAAGATGAAATACTCAAAGCTATTTTACCCGAGGAAGTTGAATCCCCATCATCGTTTACTCAAGTTGGTCACATTGGTAAAAATTCATCACAATATTTACATTATATATCTTCTTTATTATCTTATCATTTTTAGCGTTAATCATTATGGTTATTCAACAGCCCATATGAATTTACGTGATGAATTTCTTCCTTGGAAATATATTATTGGACAAGTGATTCTTGATGTAAATATATTTCTTAATTTTTTTTTGAATTAATTTGATTTGATTTGATTTATTTGTTACGAGAGGAAAGTCAAGTAAAAAAAAAATAACTTAAAGCTCAAACAATTAATATAGTAATTAATATTTTTAATTTTTTTTTCTTAGAAAAATCCCAAGATTACTACAGTTGTCAATAAAACTGATATAATTGATTCAACTTATCGATGTTTCAATATGGAGATATTAGGAGGTGAAAATAATTTGATGGCTGAAGTGAAAGAAAGTAATTGTAGATTCCGATTTGACTTTTCCCAAGTATATTGGAATTCGAGATTAAATACTGAACATGAACGATTAATTAAAATGTTTAAAAAAGGGAATTATATTTGTGAGTTGTTTTTTTTTTTACCAATTAAAATTTAAAATGAAATTTCCAATTTTTTTTCTATTTTCTTATTACAATATATCAATTTATATTAATTCTAATTTTAGGTGATGTTTTTGCGGGTGTTGGACCATTTGCAATTCCTGCTGCTAAAAAAGGATGCATTGTATATGCAAATGATTTGAATCCCGCTTCTTATAAATATTTAGCAGAAAATATATCTTTAAATAAGGTATTCAATTTTATATATATTATTTATATTATTTATAATATTGCATTTTTTTTTTGTTTATTAAATTATAATATGCTCATTATTGCATGTATATGTTTTTGTAATGGAATAGGCGAATGATAAAATTTATCCTTATAATTTAGATGGAAGACATTTTATTAAAAAAGCAGTACAAGATTTAGAAATCACGTTTAATAATTCTAATGAGAAGAATGAAAAGAATGTGACTGTTACTGTTGCTGATTCCACTTGTTTAGAGACTTCAACAATCAATTTTCAAACTTTTGATCATTTCATTATGAATTTACCGGCAACTGCTATAGAATTTTTGGGTAAATATTAATTTGACTTACAAACACATATGTGAAATTCTTTTCTTATTTATTTACTACTATTTCCTAGATTCATTTAGAGGTTTATATAAAGGGAAAGAATCTTTATTTGAAGCTTCATCAATGGATTTACCAATGATTCATTGTCATTGTTTCTCAAAGAGTGAGACACCCGAAAAAGAACTATTAGAAGTATGTTTGTATATTATTTTCATTGGGAATTTTCTCTATTATGTTCTGTATTATAATTCTTAGATTCTATATTAACATTTTTTCAATCTTATCAATATTCTCAATATTCTTGATCTTTTATAATATATATATATATATATAGCGCATAAATGCAAAATTAGAGGATTCATTATCACCTGAATCTTATAAAATTCATTTCGTTAGACAAGTAGCACCAAACAAAAATATGTTTTGTTTTAGTTTTCGATTAAGTAGAGCTGTTGCTTTTTCCCAGGAAAGGTAAGTGATCTATATCTCTATACCTTTATCTACCTGACTATCTGTATATAATATTTTTAATCCCCCCTTTTTTACTGATAAAACACACATTTACGTTTACAATTATTAGCTGTAAACGTAAACAGGATGAAGTAGATATTTCATCACAAATAGATAATAATAAGAATAATGATAAAAAAGATGGCAAAGATAATAACAATGAATTATTATTATTAAATCAAGTACCATCAACTAAAAAGATTAAATTAAAAGACGAAAAAAATAATTAATATTTTATTTAATTTGACACTCAATTATGTACCTTATTATTTATAATAATTATTAAAATGTAAAACTCTAAAATAAAATGTCCTGAACAATCAGTTTTGGGTATTGAACCCACAACTTCTCGATACCTTCAACATTGTTAATAATTACTTATAATAATGAGTATTTTTTTTAAAAAATAAAAAGAATGGTATTTCATATCGGGCTCCAGCGGGAATTGAACCCACGACCTCTCGCACCCAAAGCGAGAATCATACTACTAGACCATGGAGCCAATATGTATATCAAACAAATTAATTTCTATACAGCTCTCTATAATCAGATCATCGGGACAAGCATATTTGGTGATCAAGAAAATTGTGATTATAAAAAATTGTGATTATAAAAATTCGGTCTTCATAACCAATATACATAAGTGGGGATTATAATATATATAATAATTAATTTTGTAAAAATATATATTATTTATTTATATAATAATTAAGGTTTATTTTATTAAAACATATATTATTTATTTTATATTTTAAAAGGAATATGTAAGAGTTGAGTTCTCTTGATATAGAAATTTATAGAGTGTAAGCTCTCACTTTGTAAAAATAAACAAAGTAAATGGATTTATTAGCATCAACAATAATTCCTAACTTCATAACAAGTGAAAAACAAGAATAAAACAATTCCAGAAAAGAAAATATCTCTCTTTTCTTTATTAGAAATTCTCATGTTTTATATAACAATACATTATTAATAATGATATAATAATGAAATAATAATTTTTTTGTTCCAGTGAGGCCTTGCCTCAAATTTATTGATTAAAAAAGAGAAAGTCTTTTACATTATTTACATAATACAAAATGCACAACTTATTCTAATAACTTGAAAAGATGAGACTCAAGTCAACACTAGTCAAATACAAAAGAATCACTGAACCAAATGGTAATTCCTATATTATAGATTAGCTAAAAATCAGTAAAATTAACCACCCTATTGCATCCTATATTATAAATTAGCTAAAATTAGAATTCCTTTTCAGTATGGCAACTTTTTGTATTTGACCTGTGTAACTTATCAAGACATGTCTGTAACCTAACACCTGACAAGTAAACTTGTCCTCAACATATTAAGGTTCTGCTAAATAACCTAGTTTATAAAAGAATCACTATATCAAATGGTAATTCCTATATTATAAATCAACTAAAAATTGATAAAAATCAACCATCCTATTGAATCCTATATTATAAATTAGCTAAAATTGGAATTCCTTTTCAGTACAACAATTCTTTTGTATTTGACTTGTGTATAATTCTGTTCAATTAATTAAAATATTAAAAAACCTATCTATATATTTATATTTTACCACATTACTACAATGTTTTTAAATATTCTATTCTGCTTCTAGATATTAGTACTACTATTATTATTGTTATTTATATTTGTAAAATTTACAACATTTGTATTGCTTTTTAAGTATACCTTCCTTTTCTTATTATTTTTGATATTATTATTTAACTTCCATCTCTTTACTTCCTTACACCTTTGTGTTCAAATTTTTTTCTATATGTATACTTTAAATTTTTTCATAATTACTTGTATGCAAATGGAATAATATAAAATAATGTAAATTAATGTAAATCAAAATATATATAATAAAATAATATAATATGAGATAAATAAAATAAAATAAATGTATTATGTTTAAGTATAGTAAAAATTGAAATAAAATTTGTTTTTATTTTTTCCTATATAACAGTAATCTTTTATAATAAATTACTAGATAAAATTTTATTATAATTATTATTATCAGATAATTGTTCTTCATATCTAATTAAAACTTTCAATGATTTTTTTAATATTTTCATGACATATATATATTATGAGAATATTAAAAACATTACTCTTCAATGTATTAATAATTCTTTGGAAAATAAAAGTAATTCTTCTTTTTCTTCTTTAGAATTTGAAAATAAATTTTTCAACTTTTTTTTTTTATTGTTGAAGCATAATGTAAGACATTTAATGAACATGTAAAATAACTATGGTTGGCTCAATTAATTATGTCAGTTAAATTTCATTTCAATTTAATTACACTAGTCAAATTCCAGTTCAATTATATCAACTAAACATTAACTTAATTTAACTATATCAAGCTTCACTATAATTTTTAAAATTTTTTTTCTTAAAATAAAAACACCTTTCCTTAAAAAACAAACACGTCAACTCAAAATAGTAATAATTTAATACACATTGACTCAAAATAACAATAACTTAATAAATTTTGATATTACAATATATCATATTGTAACTAAAAATCAGAACTTTCAATCTATTATAAAAATATTATAGTAAAAAATCTCACAGGTCAAATACAAAAGAATTGCTATACTGAAAAGAAATTCTAATTTTTGCTGATATATAATATAGGATATAATAGAACAGTTAGTTTTTACTAATTTTTAGCTGATCTATAATATATGAATTATTATTTAATATAGTAATTCTTTTATATTTGACTAGTATCTCTTCTTATAATATAAAATCAATTTGAAATTAAATATAAATCCAATTATTTTTAAATATTAAAATCAATTATTCAATAAATTTTATAATTGCACATGTTATCAGTTCTAATCTGTATAGTATAGTGACTAGTGTATCAGAATCTTATTATAAAGTCAATAAATTGATCCCAAATATATGTATAAACAATAATCTTTTCATAATTCAAAACTTAATTAGATATCAACCAGTTTCTTGCTTAAATAAATGTGACAATCTAATTTAGATATTATCTATACATTTTCAGACATTATATATAACATTCACAAATTGAATATGTGAATTAAGGCATTGGACTCACATGAGATAACTAGTGTTTAGATAAGTCAAATTCAATTTTTGAGATATTTGCCATATTAATTAATGAGGAAAAGTAATAAAGGATATAAAAATTTATGTGGTTATTACTTAGTTACAAAGGTGTTTGTGACAGACAGCTTAGATTATACATGTTTTCAAAATTAATTTCTGATTTTTGAAGTATTTTGTCTTTTTGATATTTACTCAGAATTTATTCTATATATAGAAGTAAAAAAAATATCTAATTAAATGTATCTTTAATTAAGGAATTTATCTAGATAGTTAAAAAATTTTCAGTTTTATGTAAAATAATTTGTCTTCTATAAAAAACTATTTTAATTTTTTTTCCAAAATTGTAATTTTAAATCTCCTAAAATAATTTTATGTACAAGTATAACTCAAATACTTCTGGTGAAAAGTAGTACTAACTTTTTAATTTTATATTCTCTGTACTGTGCAGTTACAGTCTTTTGTGAAATTTATGTTATAATGATATTTCAATACAAATTTATTAGTTTACTTCAATTTTCTGTTCAGATCACTATAGAAGGTTATAACCTGAAATTATAAAAGATAATATCTTATTGGTCTAGTGTGTGAATAACAATTTGAAAAATATTTCTAGAGATTTTCATGTGATGACTAAATTCATATAGTATCATAGAATTACAAATGAAGGTTGACTCTTCATACAAAAAAAAATAAAAATTTCAATTAGATTCAATAGATATAAAACTAAATACCAACTATTTTATAGAAAATTTGTAGTTAAATATATTATTTACAACTTTAATTATGTTCATTTTTTATAGTTATTAGTCAAATTTTAAACTTTACTTAAATATAAGTTGAAATAATTAAAATTTATTAAAAATAAAAAATAGGTTGACAATAAATTTTTAATTGTTACAATTAGGATTGTTAAAAGTCAAACTGAACTGAATTGAATTTAATCAATTTGAAGCTAAGCTAATAGGATCAATGAGTTAATAAAATCAATAAGTTAATAGAGTTAAATAGTAAAAAATTAAAAAATTTTATATATAAAATTATATTTTTGATTTCATTTATAATTTATAAAATATAAAGTAATTTTTTAATAAGATATTTCTATAATAGATAGAAAGACTTTATTTTGACTATAAAATGATATATGTTTTATCTTTGTAATATTAATATCTGTTAAGTTATTACAATTTAAAATCAAATTGTTTATGAAAATTTATAAACAAATTCTATTAACTTTAAATTTTAATATTCAACAAATACTAATACTACAGAAATGAAACATATATTATCTTGTAATTAAGGTTTTTCTATCTATCATAAAAATATCTTATTAAAAAATTGCTTTATATTTCATATACAGGTTGAAATATTATAAATATGTGCATGATAAATGTGCATATTTATTATGTACATATCTGGCATCTGATATCTGCTGATTTATAATATTTTAACTTGTAATAAATCATTAGTGAAATTAAAAATATAATTTTATATACAAAAATTTTTAAAAATTTGTAATTTTTTATCATCAACTCCATTGACTCCATTGATTTCAATGACTTAGTTTTAAGTTAATTAGGTTCAGTTTGATTCAGTTTAACTTTTTAACAACCTTAGTTATAATTTTACAGTGGCTTACAATATATAAAAATATTTTTTCACTTATGAACCATTAAAAATGACATTAAATAACTTAGATTACATTATTTATAAAATTTATAAATCTATTTTTTAAGAATTAAAGAAATACACTAGTTAAATACAAAAGAATTACTGTATCAAATGGTGATTCCTATATAAAAATTTGAATTCCTATACTTTAGATCAGCTAAAAATCAATAAAAATCAACCATCCTATTGCATCCTATATTATAATTAGTTAAAATTGAAATTCCTTTTTGATATAACCTATTTTTTGTATTTGACCTGTGATAATTGATAATTATAACTTTTAAATTAAATTAATTACCATTTTTTAAATTCTTAAAGGTCTGCAAATTTTATAAATAATATACTACATTCTCTAGTTTAAGATTAATTAATATCATTTTTGATAGTTTATAAGTAAAAAAATACTTTTATATATTATAACAATTAACAATTATATTAAATTTTATTTAAAAAAATTATTAACATTAATTATTGATCATTGCAACATATAAAAGTATTTTTTTTCATGTAAACCATTAAAAATAATATCAAACTAGAGAAAATAGAGAATATAATATATTATCTATAAAATTTATAAACCTATTCCATAAGAATTAAGCAAATCAAGAACTAATTTAATTTAAAAATTCAATTGTCAATTATTCCTTTAATTCTTAAGGAATAGGTTTGTAAATTTTACAGACAATGCATTTCATTATCTACATTCTCTAGTTTAATATCATTTTTAATGGTTAATAAGTGAAACAATACTTATAATTGTTGATCATTGCAACATATAAAGTAATTTTTAACTTAACTATTAAAAATGATATTAAGTAACTTTAAACTAATGCATTATCTGAAGTTTCTCTAGTTTAATATCATTTTTAATGGTTCTTAAGTGAAAAAAAATAAATACTTTTATATGTTGCAATGATCAATGATTAATGTTGATGTTCTTACATTCTTAAATAACTTCCTTTCAATAAAGTTCCAAAATATTTTCATACTGTTCAACCTGTATATATGATTTTTGAAATGATTATTTTCGTTAACATTAAATCAAATACTAATGTTAACAGTGCAATGTATCAGCTTTTTGTTTAGTAGTAAGGGAAAGAATATAGAAATTATTTTTTATTCAAAATTAGCAGACCTTTATCCATAACAAAGTTAAACAGCAAAGGTAGGATTGATCACAGAGAAATAATTCTTCTACGTCCCATTCTCCTAGGAGTTACTTTTCTTTGCAAAATAAAAAAAACACACCTTTTATCCAAAGCATCAAAGTATTTTTTATCTACAGTAGCTTCTCCCAAGATATTTCCAATCGCTGAGGAGGTCATTGAGCTAAGTAATGGTTAACCACGAAACAATTATGAGATAAGGTTATCACGTCCATGATCCTCATTATAAGTAGCGCGTCCGGAAATAAGAGTAGTATATATCGGAAGACGTGTAAGGCATTTTTTATTTTAAACGACGAGTGGATAGAAGAAATATTGTAATAACATGTGACTGAAGAATTTCCGTTTCATGTTGCTGCAAATCGTCACGAGAATATAAAAAATTTTTTAAGATTGTGTAACGAATATCAATCATGAGTAAAGAAAAGAATGGCTTTAACAAATTCAAAACGTATAGCAGCGTTTAGTGCGGTCGATAATCATTTAGATGCTTCAACAAAAATTATTGGTATCGGATCAGGCTCAACTGTAGTTTATGTTATTGAACGTATATTACAACGTGGTAATTTGAAAAAAGTCGAAAATAATGAGAATAATAATTTGGAAAGCCTCGATGTGAGTAGTTGTGTTTTTATTCCAACAAGCTTTCAAAGTCGACAATTAATCGTCGATAATGGATTAAATTTGGGGGATGTTGACCAGTTAAGTTTTTTAGTGGATATTTTGCATCTTTTCGATGTTTCGCTATTGTTAATGTTGTTAATATTGTTAATATTGTTGATATTGTTAATATTAGATATTCTGTAATCGATATTACAATTGATGGTGCGGATGAAGTAAATATATTTAATATTTAAGTTTATTATTATTATTATTATTATCATAATTATTTTTAATTTTTATAATTTGCACGGTTTTTAATTAGGTTGATAAAAATTTAAACGCCATTAAAGGAGGCGGAGCATGTCATTTGCGTGAAAAAGTTGTAGCAGAAATATCAAAAAAATTTATTATTGTAGCAGATTACACCAAAAAATCCGAAGTTTTAGGTGAAAAAGTAAGTTTTTTTTTAAATTTCCTTTTTTAAAAAAAATGAGAAATTAAGATATACTTTTTACATATAGTGGACTCGAGGTATTCCGATAGAGGTCGTTCCATTTTGTTACGTTTTGGTTTTATCCTCTTTAATAAAATTGGGATGCCATAATCAAATTCTACGAATGGCCAAAGCCAAAGCAGGACCGGTTATAACAGATAATGGTAATTTTATAATTGATGCACACTTTGGACATTTAAATGGAACAAATACGCCTAAAGAAATATTGAAACGGATTAAATTAATAACTGGTGTAGTAGAAGTAGGTTTATTTGTTGATATGGCAGAAATTGCGTATTTTGGAACTGAAGATGGTTTAAGTGTAGAAATTTTAAAAAAATAGTTTCAATTCTCTAAAAAAAAAAAAAAAAAATACGAAAAGGAGTTAATAGAGTTGATAAAGTTATTAAGAGTTTTTAGGGAGATAAATAATTATGACAAGAAAAAGTATATTATTTTATTATTTAAGTTTTATTATAACGTATAAACAGTATAAATAATATAATATTAATGATTGTAAAGCAATAAATAAATATTTCGAATTTTCATTATTTTAATGATGTTAATTGATAACCAAAAAGAGGAAATCAAAATACTGAAAGACAAGAAAAGATTGTTGCTTATATCGAAACTTGTTAGTCCTCGATTGATGTTAGAACCAGGTTTTATATCTTTTATATCTATTTATATTAAAATTTATGATTCCGAATTAATCTGGTTGTAGCTATATTTAGTTCTATGTATTATAGGGCATACTGCGTGGAATTTAGTAAGGTGTAAATTGAATTAATTGAATTGTAATAAAATATTGTAATATAATTAATAATTATAATAAATAGAATTTATAGAAGATTGGCTTACAAATTATTTATATAACTATTTATATAACTATTTATATAACTATTTATATTAACTATTTATACAATTTTTATAATAACAACTCAACTATTTATATAATTACTATTTATAAAAAACTATTCATACTATATTTATAAAGTAATTCATTCATCTTCATATCGCAATTGTGTTATCAAAAAGAAAAATAAAAAGGCAGGAACAATTCGACAACCCTTTCCGTCGAGTTATTTAATTCTTTTAATAATGTATGTATTGATACATTAATATAGTATCGCATGTGATAAATTACTTTTAATTCCTCAACGTTAACAAATTTAACAAATTTAACAATTTAAACAAAATTAAACATATTAAAAATTTAACTGATACTGATAATATTTATAACAAATAATAATAATAATCTGAAACAATTATTAAATTAAACAATGATATAAAAATAGTAATTCATTTTTTAAATGTATTAACTTTGATTCCCTTATTTATACACTAATAAATTTCCCATTTTTTTTTCTCAACTTTTAAAAATTTCTCGGATAGTTGTTAGACAAGAATATTTAATACATAATTTGTAATTCCTGTTGTAATTCACAATAATTTCTGTTGTAATTCATAAATTTTGGTTGTGTTATAAGGTATGTATATGTCTTTGCGCCTTTGTGTATGTTTTTTTAATTTCTTTATTACCACGTTTTATTTTTTGTTATATTTTTATATTTTTTAATTTTAAATTCATTAAATTCATTGGGAAATCTTATTTTAATACAAATTAATTTGTCAAAATATTTTGGTTTTTCTTTTCCTTCCCACTCCAATCTCGATAAAAAAATTCTCTCTTTTTTGGTTCTATCGATTATTCTCTCTTTTTTTTTTAATGTCTTGGGTTTGGAGCTGGGTTGGACATTATAATTAAATCTTTAATTATTTTATCTATTTGATTATCATAACCCATAGTTGACATTTTTTTTTTTTTGCGTCAGAGCATACTTTTCAAAAAAAAAAAAAGAAAAGAAAATCTATCTACCTTTCTCAGCCCCCCTATTTTTTTTTCACATTTGATATATATTTTTATTTTTATTTTTATTTTTTTTTAAAAATATCGGGCGGCTATCTTTCCTCATACTTTTTTTATTAATTTAAATCACACACACCTGACTCCTGTATCAACTAAAAATACCCTGTCTTCTTAACTTGGTTATTATTTTTTACATATACATACATAAAAAAAAATTATTAACTAATATATATATACATATATGTATTTTTATATATAGATTTTTTGATACTCGTTTCTCCTCATCGTTCGTCACGCTACAGTTCATAAAACGAAAGGCACCATAAAAAGTAGATCTCTTTCTACATAACATAAGGTTTACCTTTTAGACCTTTTGTGTGTGTGCTGATTATATTCAGTTCCCTCTATTTTAAAATTTATCCTTATTTTTATTTTATTTTGGAGAGACAACGACCTTTGACCTGACTACTGAGTTATTAGTCTAGTCTGTTTGTAGGGAAAAATAACTTACCAAAAACTAAGTAGGCAAACTCTATCGTCACCTTAGGTTTCCACATTATACAAACAACTCAAAGATATACAGGATATATAACTTTAACAGCTGGACTGTTCAATACCTCTTCTCTCCCTCCCATCATAATAATATAGCAGTTACTCGCTACTATTTTGTCACCCCCCCCTTGTCACTCTTATCATAAATATTAATCCCTTTTCCATAAACCATCAAAATATTTCCCCAAAGGAAATAATTCTCATAATCTAAAAATCTATTGCACAGGGTACAATAGTTTATTTATTTCCAAATATAAAAATAAAATTTTTTTTTTTTAAAAAAAAAAAAAAACCTTGAACTTTTGGGATAATTTAGCACTAAAGAGTGCCTTTTGATTTACATGACCAGCGCACTAAAAAGATCTTATCCGTTCGGTTCCCGGCCACCATCTTTAGTGGAAGAAGCTAATCATCAATTCAAAGTTCCTCAAATTCCCGTACACAAAAAAATGTCGGTGGCTTCTCCAAGTATTAATGTCTCTACCGAGAATGCTTCGAATACGTCATCACCTTTTTCATGTATGTCATCAACTATGTCACCATCGGTGTCATCATTGGTGCCATCATCTATGTCATCATGGAGATTAAACAATAATAAGGCATCAGTAAGGCAGGATACTTCTATTAGTTCTATTATTGTTCCAGATAATAATGATCCGGTGACACAGATTAATGTTGAAAAAAGTCCTTTACCAAGTCCACCTTCATCAAAAGGTAGAAGAAATATGAAAAATTTGCAATTGGTCGTTCCACCAGTTCGTTCGGCTATTTCAGCACCCAGTTCTCCACAATTACCGCAAATGTCTTCAACTCATACTCATAACAGACGTCCTTCAACTCCTATATGCATCTTTCAAAATAAAAATCTTGATGGTTCAAATACTACTGCTGATCCTATGGCATTAATGTCAAAAACTGAAAATGCTATCGGTGAGGATTTACCTTATAAGGATGAACCAATACTTATTTTACCAAATTTATACCTTGGATCTGAATTAAATGCGGCAAATAGAACAATGCTTAACAGATTAAATATTGAATTTATTCTGAATGTTGGTAAAGAAGTCGAGAATCCTTATTTGGATGAAATTATAAAACAGAATTCTCCAAATAATGATAATGAAAATTCACCTTGTTCGTCAGATTGTTCGGATGATAGCTTTAAAACCGCTATACAATCTCCTTTGAATGCTTTCAAAGATCTCGATTCTCCAATGGCTTCTCCTTCTCTTTTTGGGGGTAGTAGTGGATTCAATAGTAATAGTATTCAAAAACGTTCATCGATGTCACGTCCAACTTCAATTTCTTTACAACTTGCTAAAAACTCAATGCAATCCGGTGTACCTCTTATTGTTCCATCAACTTCAGAATTTAACTCCATAAAATATAAAAAATTTTTTTGGACTCATAATCAAGAAAATTTAATATCTGACTTTTCCTCTGCATTTTCATTTATTGATGAGGCTCGTTTATCTAATAGAAACATTCTTGTACATTGTCAATGTGGTGTTTCAAGATCTGCTTCTCTAATCATTGGTTATGTTATGGAAGCCAATAAGTTGACCCTCAACCAAGCCTATGAATTCGTTAAAGATAGGAGTCCTTATATCAGTCCAAATATGAGTCTCGTTTATCAATTAGTGGATTTTGAAAAGATTTTGAAATTAGGATCTAAAAATCTTAATAATGTATTGCCTGGAACACCGACTAAAACCACTAATAGACCAACTCATTCCCGTACTCCAAGTATAGAGAGTGATCTACTCTTAAAAACTCATCGTCGTAGCAGTAGCATTTCAAGGAACAATCCAGTATTAAGTATTATTCCTGTTCAAAGTTCATCTGAATCTTTATCTTCACCAAAGACACCAACTGTTAGTGAAGGAGGGACCACAAATTTATCACAACAATCTACCGTGAAAGGTGGACCTGGAAGATTTCACGTTATAACAGCATCTACCACTTCGGTTACTCCATCTACCCTATCTCCTGCCTCATCCGTTTCACCCACAAGTACAGCATCACCCACAACTCCATCCAGTGAGCAATCATCTCCAACAACAAGATTACGACTTTCTTCAAGATCTTCAACTTTATCACCAGAAATTAATCATTCTTCCTTAACCGTCAATTCCAAAATCACCACTTCAACTAGGTCTCGATCACCATATTCGTTAGATCGTGTTCCTCTTTCACCAAAGGAAATTACCAATATAAAAACATCAACAAAACCAATGTCTTCTTCTTTCTCTAATGTCATCATATCTAATAGTTCTAATAGTAATAATAATAATAATAATAATTCGTTAATGATGATGACGGCCTCTAATCCTAATAATCCCTTTGCATCATTTGATTCTTCACAACCAAATATTTCCATATTTTCAAATTATTCTCTTTCAAGTGGACCAACATCGGGAATATTCAGTAAATCTACGATGGAAAGTATATTTTCTCCAACAAGAACGTCTCCACCTATTACACCAGTTACAATTCCAAATGTATTTTTGGATGATGAATAAAAAAATACAATGGGAATGAACAATGGGACAAACAACGAATTTGGTGTAAAATAATGTATATTTTGTATGTGAATTATGTGTAATGGATATGATAAATAATATTATTAGGATTTGTTCTTTTTTTTTTTTTGGTTTTTTTCTTGTACAAAAATTTTTTCTAGATTCAATATGATTAACAAATTGTTTAACTAACAGGAAAGCAATTTATTTCTTCTTTTATTTTTAACTTCTTTGTAGAATTTTTTTTTTTATAGCAACATTTCTTTTTTCCACACAAAATTCATTTCTTGTTAATTGTACAAAGTTTTTTTTTCTTATTCATTTTCTTCCACCCTTTTTTTTGGATGTACTGTAATAATTTTTTTTTTTTTCGTTATTTATTATAATTATATTTGTTCTTGAAATATATATATATATATAATTAAAAAAATATTTGAAATATGTCAGGTTTTTTTTTTTGTTTTTAGTTGTTGATTAACTAAATACAGTAATTTACATTCTTTTTTTAATTAATATAATTTATGATTTTATTATGTATGTTCATCAGCTTAACATAGATATATATATAGATATATATATGTATGTAGATAAATAAAAAAAGTTTCTCTATAAAAAAAAATTTTAATCTATCAGTATAATACATTGTTATATTTATAATAAACTATACATTATTAACTTGGTGCATTTCTTCCATAAGAGTTTGTCGGGCAGGTACTTATATTAAAGATATCTAATAATTATAATTCATTTTATCTATAATGAAAAAAATGATCTTTAAATGGTGCTTATATTATCACCAAATCTTGTGAAGGTGTATGCCTTTCTATAGAATATAAAAATACCAAAAGTCCATTAATATAAAAATGATACATGAACTGCTTTACTAAAAAAAAAAAAAAAGTCAAATATGATAGATCATGGTGCAGGTTATGTAAAGCTTACTTTAAGTAAATCATAATATCCAATTATGGTCAATGACTTTCAATAGAATATATTAATAATAAGATTCCATTAAAAATATTAAATATTCTATAAATGATGCACATAGCATTGCTAAAAGTTGAGGTGAGAAAATAATTTCAATTCCATAATACCATTACAATGGAAAAATGGACATTGTACAATTGAAATGCCTTTCTAGTAAAATACATTAACAATAATACTAAATTGCAATGGCATTGTATTAAAGGGTTGCTTCATTTTCTCAAATTAAAAATAGTGGACCATGACCGTGATTCATTATAAAAACCCAAAAACCTGATATATCTTTATTTTATTATTATATTTTTTTGATAACCATTACATAATCAATATAATTTACATGTTATTCTGTTGATCTTTATCCGCAAATCAATATATAACTGTGATATTTTTATTCTAAGAACTAATCTAGACCGATGTTTTTGATGGCTTTTACCTTTTTCACTTGGTTGCCTTCCATTTTTAAACCTTCCTCCAGTTTCTGTACCTCTTTCAATAATCAGGCAATATGTACCCTTTTAATTTACGTTCCAAGATTTTTGATAATTCTATAATGATTTATTTGATTTAAATATGATACTTACTTTACATTGTATTATTATTGTATATCCTTTATAACCTCTTTAGTTTGGTAAAGAAAACACGAATAAATGAATATTGTATCATAGTTGTCAAGAATTTTTATTCCAATACATGTTAATAATAATTCATGTATCCTATTCACCACAGGCATGTAACAAAAGCTGGTTCACTTTTTGACATTCACAGTTTTTACTAGCTTTCAATTCTCTGATTTACTTCTATTGACAGTGTAATTTCAGACATATAAAAACTCAACGAATAACTCAGTGAAAAGTTACCTTAATTCAAAGTTCTCAATTTTATTTTTGAAATTATTTTTTTTAAAAAAAAGGAAGAGTGAGATAACTTATTATTACGTGACAATGTTTATTTTATATGTTTGTGAATCATAAAAAAGGTAAAGTTGAATTACACAGCACATGATCCAATAAAATTTAAAAATTCGACTTCCAATAACTTTTTGAAGTTTTACATGTCACAAACGGACGCCTCGAATGAAACAACGCGAAATCAAAGCTCGCTTGACACCTCTATAACAGTAACCGATGTAGATTTGACTAAAAATAATAATAATAATAATAAGCGACCGGTTGGAAAAAGACGTCGTACAAATGAAGGAGTTGCAGGTCCTTCGTCGTCTTCGTCATCTACTGCTGCTTGTCCTAAGAAAAGGATTTTACCACCAAGAAAGGTTGGTACTTTAGCAAGTGTTTTAGCGGAAGAAGTAGCAGCTGGACAAGGTAAAATTTATAATTATGTTAAAACTTTAAACTTATATATATATATTTGTGTGTTATATAAACTTCATTTTTTTTTTGCGAATTTTAGAAGAGTCTATTACCGGTGACACATATATTATGCTGACTTCGGATGAAAATATTTCTCAAACATGTGACATAGTAGAAGAAAAAGGTTTAGACATAAGGGAGGAAACAACAATGACCAATAAAGAAGAGGAAACAATAATGACTAATAAAGAAGAGGAAACAATAATGACCAATAAAATAGTAGAGGGGGAGGAGGAAGAAATACAAGTGCCTTCATTCAAAATTTGGGAAGAAGATGTTGGTAGTGGGTTACGTAGTAAAGCTCAAGAGGTTTGTGAACAAATAATTCATTATTATCATTATTAATTAATTAATACTTTTTTTTTTTTACAAAATTTTATATTTATCATTCTTATAAAATTTTTTTTTAATAATAATAATAATTATAGGAAGATATTTCCGATGCTGCCTATGAAAAACGTCATCGGAAGCACGAGCTTGCTGAGAAGAAATTAAAGAATAGAGAGAGGGAAAGATTGGCGTATGAACGATATCAGCAACAATTGGCAGTTGAGAGATTACGAAATACTGATTCCAAAAGTTTAATATCAGTTGCAGCTTTTCGTAATAATGATGTGACAAATGATATGAGTAAATTGGAAACAGTACATAAAAAACTTCTTAAAGAAGCAGAAGATACATTAGCACGATATGATTCATTGGGATTAGGAGGAAATAAACGAAAGGCAGATATGAGTAGTAATAATACTAATAATACAGAGGGAGAAAGTAAAAATACTGAACCAGAAATTAAGACTACACGAACTCGTGGGTCAAGACGTATTAGCAATACGGATTCAGATGATGCACCTCCGAAAACAAAAACGCCAAAAGTTGAAACTTCTACTAGAGTAACTCGAAGTAGAAAGAAAAAGAATGATAAACAAGAAGCAGGAAGTGGTATTACTAAAACTCAGAAAACAACAAAAATCACCAAAACTGGTAAAGTTCAATATCCTGTCAAAGAGTCACGGAAGTCAATTGTATCAACTTCGAAAAATATTTCCAAAAATACCAAAAATAAATCATCTAATGAATCACCTGCTCCTCCTCCAATAATTCGACAACGAGTTACCACATTTATTGCGCCCAATACAGCTATGCCAACAGGATCACGTAAGAGTTCGCGATCAGCATTAGCATTTGGGTCTAAAATTTCATCAAAGATTTTAATTAAACAAGAATTTTCATTACCAGAGACAATGTTTGGTGAAATGATGAAAGAACGAGAGAAATTGAGAATTCTTGAATATCAACGACAACTAGATGTAGTCAAAGAAAATGATACGATGGCTAAAGAAACTAAAATATAATAGATGTTGTGCTCGAAATACTTACAAGGCATAGATAGACGCGCATTGGGGAGGAAAGATACGAATTTATTAGTGTAATATATCCATTTTCGATTAAATGCTTTCTATTGCATTTATATATATATATATATATATTTTCGATCTTTTCTCTTGAGATACTTTCTCATGTAAATATCATTATCAAAACATCACAAGCATTAAAAAATAAAGATAAATACTTATTTGAAATGCAAAGCGAAAATAGAATACTTGATCTAATCCTGATATTTCACATTCCTTTTTAGAAATCTTTCGAGGTCACATGAAATTATTGCGATTATAATTTGTTTTTTAACAATCTATTGGACGATAACGTTCTACTATATATATATAAATAGATACATACATATATATGCAGATTATGTATATACAGATATATCTATATTAAATCATTTGATTCCCCCCACACAGAAAACACACAGCGAACCATCCCAAAGTTAGTTTGGTCTTTTTAGTCTCGTGTATAAATAAAATAAATATGGACGATAAAAATTTCCAGAGGAATTCCTTTTTGATTAAAACATTGCATAAAATGTCTTAAATGTTTTAAGTGTCAAAGGAGGAGGAGAGATGAATAATTAAGGTTTAAGTAAATTCAGGTAAAATTCAAGTTTAGGTAAAATCATATGTAAAATTTATTAGATGGATTTGTCGTTTGTCGCACAATATAATGTCTGTCCGTTAATGTGATAATGAAGAAAAATGGAATTATTCGATGAAAATCTTTTTATTTTTCCATTCCCTATTTTTTTCATGTCGTCAAAGAAAGAGATTTCCTCTTTTAAGATAAAAAGGTCAAGTATCATATGAATACTCTTTTTTTTTTTATGACGTTTTTGTTCTTGTTTTTTATTCTTGTTTTTATTCTTGTTTCTTGTAATTGTTTTTGTTCTTGTTCTTGTTTTTGTTCTTGTTTTTGTTCTTGATTTTTTGTAAGCAAATTAAAAAAAAATAAAAGATTATTATATAATCAATCAAAAAGTAGAAACTTGTTAAAGTTGAATGACAGTACTTTAATATTATAATTAATAATAATTAAAGAAAATTGAGATTATCCGTCGTCATTTTTTTTTTTTTTTTTGAATTTTAATCTAAAAACAATCTCAAGTACAATAACCATCAGAAGAAGAAGAATGCCCACGTTTTTGGTTATTTTTCTAATTAAATTGATTATTATTTATTTATTGTTATGTTATGTTTATGGCGGGATAGTGGCGATGTTCGTGTGCGTGTTGCTGTGTGTATAGGAGATTATAGTGAATAGCAGATTATAGATTATGGGTCAAAAAAATACTATATATTGTATAATATCATATTATATTTTAATATATTGTTTTTTAAACAATGTAACGTAAAAAAAATTCAATTCCATAATATTATTGTTACATATTATTATGAATGTAGGTTTATAGTATAATATAGTACATTATAGTATATTATAGTATAACATACTGGTAGTATAATGTTGCATCTGTTACTATATTATCTATTTGTAATAATTAAAAGTGGTAATTGGAAGCCTTTCAACATAAACATTTAATTTAATATTTTTAAGTAGTCTATATAAAGGATATAGGATATACATTTAAAATATAGGATAGACGTTTAGATAAAGTATATAAAGACAAAGGAGAATTTTTCCACAAATAATTTCAAAGTAAATAAATTTGTTTTTTTTTTTAATAAATAAATATCTATTATTTTTTATTTTTTCGATTTTGATTTGTTCTCCAAATTTATTTTAATTCGTTTATTTTTTTTTTCATTTCACACACACAACACCATTCGTACAGTACAATTCGTACAATTCATTTACCTTGTCGATTCGATCTTCATATCTTCATCCATTCGTTTTATTCATTCCAGTATTCATATTTTATTCATATTTTATTCATATTTATTCACATTAAATATATATATATTTTCAATCAAAAACATTCTTTATCTTATTGATAATTATCCTTTTTTTCCCTTCTCTTTAATTCTCTTTATTCACTTTTTCTTTTTTTTCATTTCTACATAACAACAAATAACAAACTTTAACAAAGTTATTTTTTACAATAATGGTTTCTGCAACAACCAATATAACCACCAATACTTTTACCCTGAATAAAAAAAAAATCTTATTGTCTTCTTCGAGTTCAAAGAAATTAAGTGAACATGAACTTAATACTAAACTCACTGAAATATTTAATAAAATAGGAAAATTAGATATTGCTCAACAAGTAAGTAACTTTTTTTATATTTTTATTTTATTTTTATTCACTACTGATAATAATATTCACTTTTTATTTTTATTTATAATAATAATAATAGGGAATCCAAGAACTATACGATTTCTTATTAGAGTATCCTGAAAGTGATGTAAAAGTTAATCTATTTTTAGCAAGTTCAGGAACCTTTTTTCAAAAATACATTCGAAAAGCTTTAAATGATATAACAAGAAGGGAAATGCAAAAGATTGGAATGATTCCAACAACAACAACAACAACAACAACAACTACTACTACTTCACCAACAACAACAACAACAACTACTACTTCACCAACAACAACAACAACTACTTCATCGACAACTTCACCAACAACTTCACCAACGACTTCATTACCATCATCGCCAACTTCATTTTCAACTTCATTACCATCATCTTTAACTTCTTCAACAACTTCATTATCATCAATATCGTCAGCAGAGAATTCCTTAAACGATAAAGATCACTATAACAATAACGATAACAATAACAATAACAATAACGATAACAACAATGACATTATTTCTACTTCAAATACTTCAAATTCCAATTCGCAAATATTACCCAAGAAACCACCACACAAATTTATTATAAACCGTTGTCCAAATTCTACCACCAATAAAACGTCATTAAAAGAAGACAAAGAAATATCTACATCATCAATAACGAACGATGATATTACAACAATTCCTTCTTCTTCTTCTTCACCGAGTGAAGATATTTCTTCTGATGAAATTTCTAGTACTAGTGTTGTTAATGACGAAGATAATAATGATGATATTAAAGATGATATTAAAGATGATGATAAAGATGATAATTTAACGAAATCCAAACATACTTTATCACGTAAGTTAAAAAAAAAATTTTTTTTAAAATTTTAAAAAATTTAATATATGTTTATATATCCATATTTATATTTATATATATTTTATTTGATAATAGAAGAATTTTTGGATAATTTAACAAAAGAAACTTTCGAAATAACGCGAACTCGACTTTTCAATATATTTCAAATCGACAAATATAACGTAAGTATATCATTTCTCTCTTATTTCTCTTATTTCCCTTATTTCCCTTATTTCCCTTCTTTCCTTTACTTCTCTGTTATTTATACATCACAGACATCAAAACATTGCATTCCCATACATCAAACATTACATTCACATGCATTCACATAAAAAAAACATTTATACTTATATCGTTTACTTTATTTATATTTATATATCAATAGCAAGATAATAGACGTGCAAGTTTACCAAATTTAGAAACATCCCAAAGTGATGCTGAACGATTAGAAAATGCTAAAAATATTTTACAAACTCGATTCGGTGTTAATCCTCGTAGAGCCACTTGGTCAGGTTTATCTATCCAACAACGACGATCAGTTTTTTAATATTTTTACATATATATAAATATATATATAAAATAGACTATATTAGACTGCTACTATAATATTATTATTATGCTATCACGCTATAATATTATGCTATAATATATGCTATAATATATATACGATAATATACTGTAAGTTATAATAAACAAAAAAAAATGTTTATGATAATAAATGGCAAAATGATTACTTTATGACAAATATTTTTTATTTTTTTATTGAGACAAAAATTTATGACTACATTTTAAAATTAAGATTAGATTAGAAATTTACAAAAAAAAAATGCCAAAATGATTTTTTTTTTTTTTTATTGTCTAACTTTGGATATTATCATTCTTTAAACTTGATCTACCAGCTCTCATCATTTCATCGACTAATAAAAAGTTGCTCGCAATCACAGAACTAGAATTTAATTAATTATATATAAATATAAATATAATAATTAGCAAACTTTTATGTATTTAATGTATTTGTGTATATATAAAAAATCATATTTGCTATTAAAAGAAAAGAAAAAAAAATCAATTACCATGAATGTAACGTGTTACGTATAACACGATAATTGTCCAAAATTCCTTCTTGTATGGGATCTAAAGTTTCTCCGGTATTCAAATCAACTCCAACAATATGACCTGAGGCATATTCTTCCTATAAAAGATATTTTAAGATATTTTCAAAATGTCAAGAAATTAAAAATTATAATCAAAAATAATATCGAAAATAATATCGAATTTTTAAACTTTCGGAACCTGTAAAGCAACAATAGTATCCTGTGAATCAAATCCACCATTTCTTGCCAAAACTTTAGGTATAATTAACATTGCATCGGCAAATGCTTGAATCCCCATTTTAGCCCGACCCTTAACCGTTTCTTTAAATTTGGATAAATGCGAACTAATTGCAACTTGAAATGCTCCAGCTCCTGGTACTACACAATTATCTTCAATTGCATTTTTAACACTTCTTAATCCATCTCTAATTGCATCATTAATCTGTGTAAGAGTATGAGTATTGGGTCCTTTTTTTTAAAAATATATATATATATGAGAATATATACATTATATGATATATAATATTAATAATAAATTTTATTAATAAAAAAAAAAAATAACAATAAACAATTTATAAAAACCTTTTATCAAAATTGCAACAGATTTAGGATCTTTAACTTCTTCAACAAATGTATATTTCTCTTCTCCTAATGTATGTTCATAAACAAGACCAGCATGTCCAAGTATTTCTGGTGTTAAATCATCAACAGAATTTTGTGCTGCTCCTCCACATACTAAAGTAAGTCTACAATAAAATAAAATAAAATAAAATAAAGAAGAATGTGTTATATCATAATAATAATATTAATAATTAAATAATTAATTAATTAATTACATCCACTATTTTACCTTTCCATATTTCTTCTTTTAGCCCGTCTCAAAGCCAAAATACCATTCTTACATAAAATATCCAATGATAATGGATCAATTCCTTTTTGATTAAATACAACAAATCCTTTCTTACTATCTCCTACCACCAATTTTTTTAATTCTACAATTTTTTTAACTTTTTCATCAGTAAATTTACGTTCTGATTCTACAAGTTTTTCTCGTTGTTCGGATGATGAATAAAAGAATCCTGAATTAATTTCACTTTTTTCATATTCCAAGGAAACATTTAAAGTTAATATAAATGCATCCTCCACACGTTTTGGCATATCGGGATGACGTGCACCATGATCTAAAACGAGTCCTCGAATTAATCGAGAATCCGTTGCTGTCTTATGTTGCATTTTCATAATTTCTACCATATGTAAATCAATAGGTTCCTCATCACGTTTAATAGTTAAAACTGCATCAACAACTGCTTCGGTTAAAGTATCCGCCAATGATGCATTAACTTTTGTACGTAAAGAGCTACGGGCTACATTAATTAATAATTCTCGATCAATGGGAATTTCTGTTTTGAATTTATCGAGAAACTATATTGAAATAAATATAAATAAATAAAATAAATAAATAAAATAAATTAATAAATATTGATATCATCAAATATTATAACAATTATAAAAATAATTATAAAAATAATTATAAAAATTAAATTATAAATGATTATTAATAATAACAATAAATTTTACCTCAATAGCTTCTTTTCTTGCTAAATCAAAACCTTCAGTAATAACTCTAGGATGTAATCCTTCCGAAATATATCTTTCGGCCTGTTTCATTAATTCCCCTACCAATAAAACAATAGATGTTGTACCATCACCAGTAATTTCATCTTGCGCAGTAGCTGCCCTCGCAATCATAGCAGCAGTTGGATTTTGTATTTGCTAGATTTAATAAAATGTTATTATTTTGATTATATTATAAATTATATTTTATATTTTTAAATTATATTAATAAAATAAAAAGAATTATTTACCATTTCACTTAAAAGAACTTTGCCATCTTTGGTGATTTTAATATTACCAGCACCATCAACCAACCTGATATAATAATATTATTTATAAATATTGAAAAAAAAAATTTTTTTCTTTAATAAATATTATCAAGTAATCAAAAGTAATCAAAGGAAGTTATCAAAAGTTATTATTATTTTAAATGACCAACCCACTCTTTCTAAGCTAATTAAACCTACATTTTAATTGTCCCTTTTGGTCCTAAATTGGACTTTAACACATCTTGCAAACCGATCGCGGCTGTGATATTTAACTGAAGTGCTTGACCTCTTCTAGCTACTTCTGAATTTGGATTGATTAGTTGAACTGCTCCTGACCTATATGTAAATAATACAAATAATATATAATAACTGATAAGTGAAAGATCTATGACGAAAAGCAAATATTTTTGTGAAATATCTTACATCTTGGTAAACGATAGTGATAATAATAGTGATAATAGATCATTCAAAAAACTTTCGATCGAATTCAATAGATCCAATTATTCAATTCAATTTAGAATGTCGGGAAAGTCACACAAGTTACACGTTGAGTTGTCGATTATCTATGATATAAGGCTGAATTGTAAAAAATTTTCATTATTTATCATTTAAGATCATTTAACATTATTTTAACAATGTCACGAAATAACAAAAAGCGAAAGTCAAATGCGCTTGCACCAGTAATTGAAGAAATTGATTTACCGCGAGGTGGAGGTGATCCTTCTGTAATTCCTCTCAAGTTTAAGAAGGAAAAGACTGAAAACGACGATCTATTTGGAGTAACTACTCAATTTTTGTTTCGATTTACACCTTTCTAAATATTCCTAAATATTTCTAACCACTTTTAAATACTTATAAATATTTATTATCTAAAAATAGCAGGAAGTAGTTGCGGCAAAATCTTCCGCTAGAAAGAAGCGAAAGATCAATTCTAACTTAACTCCCGAAAATTCAACTAACTTAAAAGGATCCTCTAAAACTGAATTTGTGGAATTTTTAAACTTTCATGTAAGTTTCATGTATTATTATTATTAATTAATTAATTATTATCTATTATTAATTTTATTTATTATTATTTATTATAATTTATCTAAAAATACTTTATGAATTTTATCTAGCATTTGGTGGTTGGATCATTCTTATTGGGGCAAATAATAAGAATAAATTCATTATATTTGGTAGTATCGCTTCCCAATCAAATGAAAGGGACAGTACAAATTATAAACATTTCTGATCAATTAACCGAAATTGCCAATGAAGTTGTTAATGCCGAAAGATTCGATGAGAAATATTCATCAATTGATTTATCGAACTTTTTTAAAATCGGTCAATGGGTTCGTTGTGTTATTATTGAACTTGAACGACGTGATGAGATGACAAATGATAAGACCACTACGAAACATAAACCTCATAAAGTTATTGGATTGAGTTTATCACCGAAAGAAGTCAATCGTGATATAGAACAGGAAGATTTAGTTAAAGGCTTGGTAAAATATATTTTTATATATAAATATTAAAAAAAAAAACTATTAAAAGCATAAAAAAAAACGAAAGAAAAAATCTCATGTTTTCATTTAATCTTTTTTTTTTTTTTTTTTTTTTAGATAATTGCGGCATCAGTTAGAAGCGTTGAGGATCATGGTTATATTCTTGATATTGGAATGAAGAATATTAATTGCTTCTTGAATACCAAAAATTCAAAAAATTATGAAAAAAAATTCAATGATAATCGGCCACTTTCTGTTGGACAAGTATTAAATGTTAGCATTCTCCATGTCAAACGTAGTCATTTTATTGAAGTTACTGCAGACCCGGATATTCTTTCGAATTCAATATTATCCGAAAAGAATTTACATAATATTAATTCATTAACTCCCGGAAATATGGTTAAAGCACGAGTGGATAATGTTGTACAAAATGGAATCTTTTGTAATGTGATTGGTATAAATTGTGAAATTGATACATTTCATATGGGAAAAATTTTATCAGAAGAGAATCTTGAGGATAATAATCAAATTAAAATTGGAGATGAGATTTGTGCTAGAATTATTTTTGTATCAATTACAAATGAATCGAAAAAAATTAGATTATCAATCGTTCCACATGTTCTTCGATTAGAATATATTAACAATGATAATTTTCCAATTGGAACAAACTTTTTGACGATCACCATTAAGAAAATCATGAGTTCCGGATTAATTGTAAAGATTGATAATTCAAATATACCAGGTTATATTCATGTAAGTATAAAATTCTATAATTAAAAATAATTAGGATTTTATTTAATTATTATTCATTTATTTTAGATTTCTCGTGTTTCCGATAATCATATCAAATCACTACCTGAATCTAATAATGATTTTGAAATTGGTTCAACTCATTCTGTTCGAGTAATTGGATATTCTTCTGTGGATGGTCTTTTGTTATTATCTATGCAGAAATCTGTGCTTGATCAAAAATATTTGAGACATGAAGATGTTAAAATTGGAGATATAACTGAAGTAAATATACATATATATATATTATATTATTCGTTATTACGCTACAAATTGAATCATGAATCAAATTAATGTAAAATAAATTTATGTTTTTTTTTTTTAGGGCACGATTCAAAAAATTCTGGAGAATGGAATTTTAATTGCCTTATCGGATAACATAATTGCTTTAGCCCCTCGAATTCATCTTGGTGATACAATTCATAAACATTTTGGAAAGAAATTTGAATTGGGTCAAGTTGTCAAGTGTCGTGTTCTAAATGTTGAAATTAATGAATTTGAGAGTAAGATTTGGGTCACATTAAGAAATTCACTTCTTGATCCTGACCTACCTATAATAAATTCATATCAAGAAGCCGAAGTTGGTATGATTACTCGTTGTACAATAACCGGAGTAATTGGACGAGGGTGTCACGTTTCTTTCTTTGGTAATGCTCATGCATTTGTCCCGGCGGATCAATGTGACGTTAATAGTCAAAATATAAAAGAACATTTTGTAATTGGACAAATTGTAAAATGTCGAATTAAATCAGTTATGAAAGATAAAAAATCAATGCTAGCCACTTTTAGGATTAACGATCCTACAAATACGGATATTAGCGAAATCAAAATAGGCGATGTAATTCAAGTTTTATAATATTAATTTTTTATTAATTATTTTTATTTATTTGTCACTAATTTATTTATTTATTTATTTATTTATTATAATTTATTATAATTTCGTTATACAGTTAGTGAAGGGTAAAATAATACAAACCAAAGATGATGTGATAATGCTATCTTTGGTACCTTCACAAATTCGTGCGGTACTTCCTATAACACATCTTTCTGATCACCTCACACCAACTCATCTTTCAAAAGTTGTTGATAAATTAAAACAGGATGAAGTATTAAAGAATTTATTGGTAATTTCAAGAAATGAAGATAAATGTACGGTGACTGTAAGTGCAAAACCTATTTTAATAAAAGCGGTAAAAGCTGAAAAATTACCGCAATCATTGGAAGAAGTTGAAGTTGGTAGTATAATTCCGGGTTATATAAAAATTGTTAAAGATTACGCGGTTTTTGTGAATTTCTTGGGAAATTTTAGCGCTAAAGCTATGAGACATGTAAATATTCGATTTTTATTTTATTTTATTTTATTATCATTCTTTCTATTCATTAATCCTATTATCAATAATTATTAATTTTATTATTAATGTTATGTAATTTAGAATATCGCTGACCATTTTGTAGCTAGTCCAGTTGGAATATTTTCTCCAAATCAATCAGTTTTATGTCACATAACTTCTATTAATTCAGAGACCTCGAGATGCGAAGTTTCTTTGAAGCCTTCCGACACAAATGATACAACTTCTTCTTCTTTTCCATCTTATCTCAAGGAAGGAGATTTTATAAAAACATATTTTGCTGAATTACAAGAAAATAAATATTTAGAAGAACCACCTATCAAAATTGGTGATCGTGTCAAGTGTCAAGTGAAAGAGAGAACACTTAAATCTGGAATTATGGGATTTACGGCAAAAGTCCTTTTAAATGGTAATGGTAATGGAAATATCGATATGGAAGCTTTTATTAATGAAGATCACGCCAACACTTATGAAAATATTAAGGAAGGTGATATTATTTATGGAATTGTTCTTGATATGGATATAAAAAAGAAAACCGTGGATTTAGGAATAAGACCTGATTTAGTGAATTCTAAAAAAATCAATGGTATCGAAAACCATCAAAACCCAATCTCATCTCATGTAAGTTTAAGAATATTTTTATTTTTATTATATATTTTTTTCAAAACAACTCCGAATAATCATATTATAATATTTTTAATTTTTTATTATTATAGAACAAAAAATTAAAAAAATTTGTAGATACAGAAGAAAACTTTGATGCAATTATTGAACTAATAAAAGAGGATTATATTATAGTATCTTTACCAGATCTAGATAATGTAATTGCATTTTCGGCATCCAAAAATTACAATAATAGATCTCAACCTTTTATGAAATATAAATTTGAACAAAGAACCAAAGCTAAAATTGTATATGTTCCTCGAAATAGAGATCCTAATTATGTGAAAATACATGGAACTATTAGTAGAGTTTTAATAACTATACAACTTCCTTCCGAAGAAAGATTATCTATTACAAATGACACAAAATCTATAGAAGATTTTTCTCCCGGTCAATTAATTGAAGGTAACATTACCGGTATCGAAAAATATGGGATTTTTATGAAAATTAAAGATACTGGTATAAGTGGATTATGTCATATATCAAAATTATCAGATGATTATGTTAAAGAAATATCTGAATTATATAAAATTGGACAAAATGTAAAAGCTGTAGTTTTAGAAGTTAATCGAAAGAATCAAAAAATTTATTTTGGTCTTAAAGCTTCATGTTTTCAATTATATAATTTGGAATTACCTAATGATTCATCTGTTCCAGATAAGATGATGGTAAATTAAAAACAAACAAACAAACAAATATAATTTTTATTTTAAAATAAACAAAATTAATTTATTAACAATTTTTTTTTAATTCCCTTTATAGATTGATGATGATGAATGTGAGATTAATTTGGAAGATAAGGAAAATCATCAGGAATCTAAAAATATTAATGATGAAATGATTATTTCCGATGAAACAGGAAACACTTCCTCCACTACTATTATTACTGAAGTTAAACCATTACCCTTTTTCAGTACATGGAAATGGGGAAATGAAAATGATGATAATAATTTATTTAAAGTTCAAAATGGTCAAAATGATCAAAATAGAGAAATAAGTAATAATTCACTAGCATTAAATTCATTAGAAAATAATAATAATAATTTAGATGATAATGTGACAGGAAAGAAGAAGAAAAAAAAAAAGGAAAAGAAAATTTTAGATTTATTAGAAGATAAAACAGAAGACTTACAAAATCAGAAACCTGAAGCTGATGAAGATTTTGAACGATTATTGTTAACTTCACCTAATTCATCTTTTTTATGGATTAATTATATGGCACACCAACTTAATCTCTCTGAAATTGATAAGGCACGTGAAATTGGAGAAAGAGCACTCAAAACAATTAATTTTCGTGAAGAACAAGAAAAATTGAATATATGGATTTCTCTTCTCAATCTTGAGAATACTTTTGGAACTGATGAGAGTCTTGCTAATGTGTTTAAGCGTGCGTTACAATCATGTGAACCAAAGAATATTTATTTCTTGCTTGCTGATTTATATGTTCGATCCGACAAGAAAGAGGTATATATATATATATATATATATATTTTAATTTAACATAAATTTTTTAATTTTTAATTTATTATTATTAATTTTTTTTTTTTATTGGGAATATTTTAAGTTGGCACAACAAACATATCAAACCATGACCAAAAAATTTTCTCAAAGTTCAAAAGTTTGGACAAAAATGGGACTCTTTCATATTCAAAATGGCAATATTCAAGCTTTTCGTGATTTACTTCAACGATGCTTGAATATTTTACCAAAACGAAAAAGTAAAGCATATAAAATTTATTATTCATATATCATTGGAAACATGAGTTAATAATAATAATAATAATAATAAACAAACAAATTTTAATAGATGTCAAGACTATAACTCAATTTGCGAAAATGGAATTTAAATATGGGGAAGCCGAACGAGGTCGTACTATTTTTGAAGGAATGATGAGTAATTATCCTAAGCGAGTAGATTTATGGTCAATATATATTGATATGGAAGTCAAAGTTGGTGATCCAATAATTATTCGGTAAATAATTCATAATATTATTATTCAAAATGTTCTTATTTATTCGAAATACAAATTTTTTTATTAACTTGAATTTTCATTAACAGGCGACTTTTTGAGAGAATTACGGGGATGAAATTTTCATCTAAAAAGATGAAATTTTTCTTTAAAAAATGGTTAAATTATGAAAAAGAACATGGTGACGTTGAAAAAATTGAAAAAGTTAAGCAAAAAGCTCAGGATTTTGCGGAATCGTTAAATCTAACATCAAATAACCTATCAAATTAATATTAAAAGAAATTAATTATATAACAAAATAATAATAATAATAAAAATAATAATAATTTAAAATGATAAAAATGTGTCACAAAGTTTTATATTAAATAAAAAAATTGAATGTAAATTTTTTTTTCTCCCGTTTATTAAAATATAAAATAATTAAAAATTAAATATTTACAAATTTGTGAAATCAGAATTTTGATGAATTACTAGTTCCAACCCCTATATTAGAATCTTCTGGATAAATATCCCAATTAACATGTTTAATTGGTTTAGTTGAAGAAATAGGTTTATTATTATTACTATTACTATTAATACTATTACTATCATTACTACTACTACTATTACTACTATTACTACTATTATTACTATTATTACTATTATTATCATCATTTTCTCGTTCATTTCCTTTCTTCTTTTCTCGATTCCTTTCTCGTTCCTTTTCTCGTTGCTCTTCATTTAAAGAATTAAAATATTCTTTCCATTGCTCAACTAAAAGTTTCCCATAAGATAAGAGAAAAGGACTCATTTCTTTAGTTAAAGCTTTCATAAATTGGGTATTCGCAATAAATACTAAAAGTCCAATTACAATAAAAATATAACTCCAAGGAATGATCCATACTGTTAAACCAAGTATAATAATTAATATTACAATAACTTGAGTTATTATAAATGATTCATATTCATTACTCCAATCAATATGTTTAAGTAATGGAACTATTGAATCATATGCTTCACAAATCAATCCCATTAAATTTTGAATATTTTGAATATTTTTTAAATAATCTACTGAATTTTCTGGAGGTAAATATGGATCCCGATGTTTGAATTTTCGAAATTTCATTTTTCCTTTTTTATCCTTGGGCATAGATTGTGGTCCATTTGGATATTTCTTTTCAAAATGATAAATGAGTATTACAAGTAAAATTATTAATGGAGCAAAAAACAAAAGTTTTGGATATAAACCTATAATAAATTTTTTGATTTAAATTAATTAAATTAATAAATTTTGATTAAATTTAAATAAAAAATATAAAATATAAAAAATATATATATATATATATAAAAATAAAATAAAATATAAAATAAATAAAAAATATATATATATAAAACAAAATAAAAAAAAATAGGAAAATTAAAATTTACATATGTAAACATAAATCACCATGGCCAATAAAGTATTTGATGGGCTTTTCCACATAATTATTTCCTCAACATTATCCTGAATTGCAAAAATGAACCCACATTTTTGAACAAATCTTCCGAAATTTGTACCCATTAATTGTAAATTTAATGGTGGATGAGCAGGATCTGTAGTCATTTTAGTTGCATTCGCTACATTAAGCGCTGAAGAAACAATTAAATCTTGGAATGTTTTTGCATCTAATGAAATTGGTGAAACTGGACGTGCTGCTCTGGGAGTAATTGATTCGTTATCATTTGATAATGTCTTGAATGACTGTATTGGCATTTTCGGTAAATTTGTTGAAATAGAATCAAATGAATTTGAACGTCGTAAAATATTTATATTATGATCATCATTTTCAAATGAATTTGAACGTCGTAAAATATTTCTATTATGATCATCATTTTCTGAATTAAATTTTACAGCACGAGCTGGAAGCGAGTTTGTAGCTATTTCAACTGAATTATTTGAAGATTTTAATCCTGTAATAGGTAAAGACGAAGAAACTTGAGAAGTCTCTGAATTAGTCCCCTTATCATTATCTATACCATTTGTATAATGACTAATATTGAATTTTTGATTAATTCCGGGATTTTTACAAGTTGATTTTACCAAATTCTGGCATTGCTTATGAGCGACATAATTACATTCTAAAAATAAAATAAAAAATTAATTATGATAAATGAAAAAAATTACCGAAAAAGATAAAAGTAAATACCTTTACAACAAACTCCCTGTTTAAACAATCCCCAAAGTGGGCTACGGCAATGAACACAGTAGGTAAATTTTGTAAAGGTCTTTTCTTCAAAATTATGAGCAGGTGACATAACAGTATGATGAAAAACTGATCGATTATCAACAGTATTTATATATTTTGCTTTTTTAAAAGCTTGTGAAATCAATAGAAAATCACATGAAAAATTAATTCAAATTTACTAATTATGATAAAATATCAAAAACAAGTTTCAGGCATATTACAAAATTTTTAAAAAATTATTATAGATCAATAGTTGTTTTAATAAATAAAAGCTATTATTATATGTAAGTAAAAATGGTACCTGCAATTATATATTGCACTAATTAAATGGAAAAAAAAATAAGACAGTTTTATTATGAATAGGATTCTGATTAATGGCAAATTTTGCTAAGATTTATTAAGTAGACAGTTGATTCATAGGTAAGAATTTCTCAATCTATGAATAGGAATTTTTGTTTTATGAATTTTAATAAATAGGATATTAATTTGTGCCATCTATAGAATTCCAATTTTTGTTCATTTGGTCAGTGAAGCAAAGCCAATTTTTTGTCAATTTTTACATGTGAATATGATACAATTCAGCAATAATGTTTCAGTAATGAATATGGCAAAATTTTGATAATTATAACATTAATTTTATTCTAATTTTGTCTAATTGTCATCAGAATTTGTAATTAAAATTACTTATTTCTAATTGCTATCAGATGAATTTTTTTTGAATTTTTATTAAAAGACAAACCAAAAAAAAACAGCAGACTTTTGACTACTATTTTGACTTCCTTTTTACAATTACCACATTTTAAGGATAGCAACCCAGGCTGAACAAGATATTCTAAAAATATCCTATAATCTATTTTTTATTTGGGTGATTAATATTCAAGCATGTGATTTAATTCTTCTCAGCCGATCACAATTTGACGATATGCCATCAGTTTAGTCTAGTTTGGGAATCAGAAAAATCTGTCCTTCCCACGATATTCTACACCCCCGCGGGTAAATCTAATAAAAAAATTTATAATTTTCAGTTGTTTAGAGCCATTGTCAAAAATATATTTTGATATTTTGACTTGTAATTTGCTTAAATGTTTGTCTGTTTGTCAAAATAAAACTTTTGTGAAAAAAATTGAACGTATGATGATGTAATTTATGTTAAAGTTGTTACACCGTATTGCCCTGTCATTCATGTGATTATTTAACCAAATAAAAAATTTTATAATACTTCTTTTTTACTAGGTAAAAGATAGCAGACGAATTCCTCTAGAAAGGCAATGATGTGGCCATGCCAATTTCTTTATAACAGCGGATAATCTAAATCGACAATTGTGTGGAAATTATTAAATTATTAGTCATATGGCGAAACGGATTTTCCATAGCATGAGTTAGTAATCGTCGATCATTTCTGGCAGAACTATTACAATTTTACAATAATTTGGTCTGCAGGAATATGTTTACTGTAACAAATCCGCTAATATAAAATAATATAAAGAGTACAAAGTACAGAATACATAAAGTTAATTCCGCAGATTGACTATAACTGTATAAAGTAACTGATAAACTGTTTACATACCTCGTGATTAAGTATGTGCTTTATCCAGTGCACTTTTCCTTTCTATATAATCAAACTCTTTAGACAAAACTCTCCTTTAGTTGAACTTTCTGATATAAATATTTTGTAAAAATATTAAAATTCTTGAAGCGACTATCTTTTTTTGCGATTTAGTATAGAAAAAAAAATCAAGTCAATTACTATGGCTTCCACAAGTCGATCTCAAGATCAAAGAAATGCTAATGTTTTACCTGAACCAAGTATAGGAAACTACATTGTCAGGCAAGCTATTGGTAAAGGTTCTTTTGCAACTGTCTACAAAGGATATGATAAGGTAGAGTGGTTGCTTTGAGCATGTGGATTTTCCATAACTAGTGTCAAGGGCCGCAATTGAAGTTTTCGTTACAACAACTCTTATCAAATCACAGTAACTACCTTTCCTCACATCGTTTAATATATACTGTATAATATGTTAACCTTTATTAATCGCCTTTCATTTTCAATAGAAAACGCATAAAAAAGTTGCAATCAAATCTGTTTTACGATCAAAATTAACCAAAAAGTTATTGGAGAATTTAGAATCTGAAATTTCAATTCTGAAGAGCATTCAACACGATCATATTGTTCAATTGATGGATTGTCAGGTTTGTTAGTTTTATAGTTATTTTAGTTTATTTTAGTTTATTTTAGTTTAGTCTTTTCAGTCAACATAATTGATAAACTTTTATTTTCCTATTTAGAAATCTGATACTCATATACATTTAATTATGGAGTATTGTTCTATGGGTGATTTATCAAATTTTATCAAACGGCGTGGAGATGTTAACGGTTACACGTTAACAATAATTTCACCAAATGGTTGGCTAGAGGAATACGTTGTTCTTCATTTCTTAAAACAATTAGGTACTAAATAAATTTAAAATTCTTGATTGATGCTTTTTTTTTTTTTTTTTTTACCTTGAAATGATAGTGGAAAGTATATAAATGACATTTTGCTAGGTATCGTGTACAAATTCAAATCATGTAATACTTAAAGCAAAAAGTCAAATAATTTATCAAAGAAATCTACATACAATTTCAATGTCAACTTTATTTTTACAAAAAGTTATTATGTCTTTTTTCTAATAGCAAACGCACTGGAATTCCTTAGATCCCAGAATCTTATACATCGTGACATCAAGCCTCAGGTACAGAAACTAAATCTTTAACAATTTATTTAGAATTTTGATTTTAATAATAATAATAAAAAATATATTATTTGCATGATATTTCAGAATCTTCTGCTGTTGCCCCCTTCACCAGATAAAGAAAAAAGATCAACAGTCGGTTCACCCGACCTTCCAATTTTGAAAATTGCTGATTTCGGTTTTGCGCGTTCATTGCCATCAACAAATTTAGCAGAGACATTATGTGGATCACCACTATATATGGCTCCAGAAATATTGCGATACGAAAAGTATGATGCTAAAGCGGATTTATGGAGTGTGGGGGCAGTATTATATGAAATGTGCGTTGGAAAACAACCATTTAGAGCTTCAAATCATTTCGAATTGTTAAAGAAGATTGAGGTTCGATGTGATAGAATTAAATTTCCTGGAGATAAATTGGGAAATGGAAAATCAAATTTAGATAAAACATCTAAAACACCAACAATAAACGAGGAACTTAAAAATTTAATAAGACATTTGTTGAAGCGTAATCCAGTTGAGAGAATTTCGTTTGAGGAATTTTTTATGCATCCATGTATTGCTGGTGATCTTGGACCTAGAATAACCAGAAATACATCTTCAAAAGAAAAATTAGTACAAGTTACAAAAGATGGAACAGTAAATTCGGTTAATTCCAACAACTCTATGGACAATGATATTTCAAAACGTAGCATTAGAGATAGGTCAATATCATCACCAGTACCTGTATCAAACAAAGAGCAAGCTGGAACTAGTCATAATACACGTACTTTTCAAAATAATACAAGAATTAATTCTAATCGTAGGGGATCTGAAACATCCCCAAAAGAGTTAAATAATGGTAATACAAATCTTAAACCGTCTCGAGAAAGCGTTAAACATCCATCAATACGGTATTCTTTGAAATTTTATTTCGATGATTTTTTAAATTTTAATAAACAGAACAGTTGTTTACATTAATTCTCAACTAATAAATAAAATAAAAATAAATAAAAAATAAAAGTATGAATACATATCCTAGAGATTTACATCCTAGTGGTGGTACACTTGGAATAGGCCAACCTCCAGAATTAACCAAACAAAACGATAATAACGATCTTCAGCCGTCCTATGAAAATCCTTCACCGTCACCTTCTTTATTAGTGCAAAAATCAGAAGAGACATCTAAAAGCGTTGAGGAAGAGGTTCAATTTTTGAGAGAGTATGTGGTGATTGATTCTAAAAAAGTGGAAGTCAATAAATTGGCAGACGGTATGTATAGTAAATGTTAATTTCTTTTCTTTTTCTTTTTGTTATTTTATTATATTATCTCATACCTATATATATATTCCTAACTATTATCTCATACCTATACATATATTTCTATCTATTATCTCATACCTATATATATATATATTTCTATCTATTATATAGAACTTAACGAATCACCTAAATCTACAGGTTTCATACATCGAAATAATAATAATAATAATAATAATAATAATAATAATAATAATAATAGGGTCAATTCAATGAGTATTATTCCTCATTCAAATCCTCTAGATCCTCAATGCCTAAATACAAATACTGGCCCTTCACCCCATATCCCCTATTATACCTATCCTCCTTTTGCATTGCCTCCTACTTCTCATGAGAAAGTTTGTCCTCCAGGTAGCAATGGACAATCTGCTCTTGCTAGAGCTTTGTCCACTGTTTCATTTCGTTTGCTTGGTACGGGAAATTCTCCACCAATGAATGATAAATATTCTAAGCAGAAAGAAAATATTACATTTTCGTCCGATGGTACACTTGATCCAGTCGAGGTTTATATCTATAATTTATAATATAAGTTAATTTAATGATTTTGATATTAAAAATTTTTTAATATCATTTTCTCTTATCAGGAAGGAGTTGTCAAAGCGATTGAAGATTATGCGTATAAAGCTCACGTCGTTTATCAGTTTGCAGAAACAAAATATAATTTGTTAATGCCACCACCACCTACCGCAAGTAGTGAATTAGTTGATACGCGAAGCACTTCCACAAAAAATGATGCTTTATTGGCTCAAGAAGCAGTTGTTTTATATTTGAAATGTCTTTCCTTGCTTCAAAGCGCTATGGAAAAAGCCAAAGAATATTGGGCAAATATCGGAAAACAACGCTCCGAATATCCAGGTGGTAAACCTGGAGCTTCGTTGAGATTCAATAATGGTATTTAATCAATAACAAGTTCATTCGAAGAGAAATAATCATTATATTTATATTATTATTATAAAATTATTGTATATATTAATAACCTTTTTTTTTTTTAAAAAAAAAAAAAAAAAAAACTATTAATAGATGTTCAATGGGTTCGTACACGATTTAATGTATGCTTGGAAAAAGCAGAGTTTGTTAAATCAAAAAGTCTAACAGAAGAAACAACAAAGGATTGTTTTGCTGAGAAACTTCTTTATGATAGAGCCTGCGAAATGGTAAAGGATTTTTAGCCTTTACTGATTTTTTAATTAACTCTTGACTATTTATAAATATTAATTCATAAGTTTTAAATTTTAGAGTCGTCAAGCTGCAGTTAATGAACTCACTGGACAAGATTTACCTGGTTGTGAACGTGCATACCAATCAGCTATTTATATGTTAAATGCTATTTTAGAAAGTACTCCAGAGGATGGCGATACTTTGGATGATCAAGATAGACAAATAGTGAATAAATGTATGTTTAAATATTGTTATTTTTTTTTCCAACGATATATATATATGATAATATAGATTAATTTAATTTTCACTCATTTAAATATTTTAATTATTCTAAAACAGTTATTGTTTCGATAACAAAACGACTCAATTCTCTGAAAAAAAAACCCAATGTTCCGGTAACTGCTGGTGATCAAGGAATTCCTAGCTAGTAGTGTGAATAAATTCTCTTTTACAAATGGTTATACCCAAACGAATAATTTCTCTTTTAATATAATTATAATAATACTATAATAAGGTCCTTTTAAAATAAGTTAGAAAGTTTAGGAGTTACAAGTCCAATTGTTATATTTACTAATTGAAAACTTTTATAATATAAAAATTTATGGAATTTGGGGTTTACCTATTCCATCATAATTATATTTTTCCTCTTTCCCGAATTTAGAACGTATTTGTATAATAAAAAATAATATGTATCGTATTGAACTGTAATATACATTTTATAATACACCAACAGTTGATCAACTAAATTAATTCTTTTTTTTTTTTTAAAAGATTATTGTAATATCGATTATCTCTTTATTTATATGGTAATAAGAATTTTAAGTTTTAATAATAAATGCTATGAAAATTTTATAAAACTATATTTTTTATTATTTTTTTTTTTTACTTGTGCGAAAAGCTTAATTAAGTGATTATAAATTGTCTATATTACAAAAAGAATATAAGAAACAAAAAAATATATATATTTAACTTATTAAAAAGGACACCCTTAACCGAATTTGATTGGTACAGATGATCAGAAAATTTCACGTGTGACAAATATGCATAAAGACACGTGAGACATAGGTATAGGATTTATGACGAAGCATTAATCCCAATTTCAGGATTTAACTCATTGATATTATTGACTTTAATATTAAGAAGGTAATTTATAAGAGTATAAAGTGTAATTGGTTTGCATAAATTGAAGAATAAATATTGAATGTGAATCGAATAATGTTTACCTATCTAGATTATCACAAATGACCCAATTTTCTGAATCATTCCCATTATCATCTTCAAAATCTATAAAAAAAAATTAAAAATAATTAAAAAAATCGATAAAATAAATTTTACATTTAAAATTTTAAATATTTTTACCTTCTTCGAAATAATCAGGTATAGTCGCACCAGGAATGTTGTTTCTTAAAATACCATCTTTTATATCATTTCCACTTCTTCTGAACATTAGACGTAATAATTGTTCAAAATCTAAGCCAAAAGATCGGTCAAAAATCCGATTCATTGCAGTGAGATGTCCTGACCTTAAGAATAAATTCCAAGAATGATTTTAATTTCAAGAAATGATTTTAAATTATTTTAATTCCAAGTCTAATAATTACCGGCCAAGATTTGGTGCTCGACAACAATGATATAAATTCCGAAGAGTATTGGTTACTTTATGAAAAGGGATATCTACACCTTGGGTATGACATAAATATGCGATATCATAATTAAGCATCGCCATACCAACGGTGAATACTTCTGAATTGTGTTTATCCAAAGAAAGTGGTTTTTTGCTAAATATATATATAATGGTCAATATTAACTCAAATATATATATTTATTTATTTATTTATTTAAAATAAAATAAAAAAAAAAATAAGAAAAAAAAAAAATACAGAAATAAATAAAAATAATGAATAATTAATTATCAAACCCTATGAAGATACCAGGCATAGAATCTTTGGCGTACGACTTTGAACCTTTGCTGACTAGTATAAAAGGTAATTTTACTCCAAGGTAATGTGCAATCAATCCTACCATATGTATTACATGTCCAACGGCTGCATTTGTTTCATCTATTTTTATTTTTTCGTCGGGACATACTATTTAATTATTTAAATAAATTTATTAAAAAAAAAAATAAAATAAATAAATAAAAAAGAATGATGATACGATATATATGGATAACATACTTACTGAAATAATCAGTTTTTTTTGGTAGCGTCATACCAGCGATCATATATTCGCAATCATCTTCATTATTTGTAGGTGATGACGATGAAGGATCTGGTACTTCCTTTAAATCAAATAATGATAATAATTCACCAATCAAAACTTTTCTTGAATGCGTTAAAACTTGATGTACGTGACGCCATTTTTCTTTAGTATTTTCTGTGTCCCTTATAATTAGGGGCTTTTGATCAAATTTAAACTTTTTAAAATATGTGAAAGATTCTTGTAGAATTTGTCTTCTGGTTTGAAGATTTCGTCTTAAGATATCAATTTCTTGACGATCTAAAATATATCAACAATAAATTCATTTGAATTCAAATAAAATTTAACTAGTATTAAACATTAAATAAAATTTTTATATAAAAAAAATATATATATAATATAATAATATAGAACTCAAATTTCAAAAAGCATACTTCGAACAATCTCTTCCTTTTTTTTACTGATCTCTATTCCAAGCTTATTCAATTTTTGATCTTTATTTTGTTTTTCTGCTAAACACATTTGATACTTTCTCAGTGATCCTGTAAGAAATTTATTTGATTTTTCTACGTTTCGCTGCTTTACTTGTGTGATTTGTTTCAATTCGTCATTATAAACGCGCAGCCTATTTTTTAATAGTAAAAAAGTGTAAATATAATGTTAAGGGTATTAAATTCGAAAGTAACAAATACCTTTCACGAAGACAGTTTGCGCAACAGAATTGGTATTGATAGTTATGACAAATTTGACACTCCATTATAATCGTTTGAAATAACTGAAAAAAGTGTAGAAATCAACCAGTATTTACGTTATGAGCATAGGGAAAGTCTAGATTTTGATCATTATGTTACACAATTATTTATATTAATTCGTATATAATCTTTTTGTCGATCATTAAGTATTTTTTTAGCGAGACGACGATTTTTTAATTACCTAGTTTTATAGCCGCAGTTCATCCCGTAATTTATCATACGGATAATCGAAATGTCTACTCATTCAAACAGTCATAAGCTAAGGTCATTGTTTTTAACTCTGGATTCTTGCATTTGCAGAAATATGGCTGAAATAGTATTTCTAATTCATTGATTTAAATCTGATCTACTGAATTCATTTGAAATTTGTTAGAAAAAAATATTGATTCATCCATCAATGATATAAATGTAAATTCTGATTTTGAGAATTATAACAATATTGATACTTAAGTAGCTACCCGATTACTACCTTGGGTTTTTATAATAACAAGTGTTGCAACCTGAAATTAAAGTGGTAGCTACTTTTATAAAAATCAATGTACTGAATTGTAAAATTTCATTATTGCAAATATATTTTTATTTTATTTCGCGAGATACTTTTTACGGATTTACTTTTATAACCTTAAATGTCTTAAATGTCGAAATTATTTTACGGATTACGGTTTAAAGTGCATTAAAAGGTTAAAAGTTATATTATTAATAATTTGACCAATAATATTGCTGCCGAAATTATTTTTGGTAATTTTTACGGTTACGGAGAATTATTAAATAAAAATCCCTTTTAGATTAACTAGCGAGATTTTTTTTTCTAGTAGCCACCCGCCACTAAAACATGACTGGTGTAATGTAATACAGATATGTTTATTATTTGATTATATAAAAAAAATTACAATGTTATACAATATTGGATTAAATAAATAAATGGGGTCTGGATTCAGAAATAAGTTCTAATCTTTGATATTCGAGTTTAATAATAGGGTCAGTAATAAATCTAAATGATATTTCAATATTATTCAGGTTGGAGATCTGCTTAGAGCAACATATACTTGACCAGATCTAAAGCAAGATATACTTTCGGTAAAGTGAGACCTTGAGTTTTATGAACAGTTATAGCAAAACAATTTTGTAATGGAAATTGAGTCCTTTGACAATTATTTCCATTAATTTCAAAATAATGGGTATGCTTATAAATTTGAATATCTACTATTGGAAAATGTTACTCTTGTTAATTGTTCTTGAAGGTTGACATTGGTAACAACTCCAATTGTTCCATTGCAGATTCCATTTTCAATTAGAGAATTGTTAAAGTATATTACATGTAAATCATACAGATAATGGTAAATTAGTTTTTGATTTAAACATTTGTTCAGAATAAGATACATTCTATAATTCTAAATTTACCAAATCTAATTACTTGTGAAATTAAGAATTTATTATTTACAACAGGTAACATGTTACAAATTATTCTATTAATTTGTTGTACACTTTTACAAAAACCTATAATATAAGTTATATTTAATATCATATCAATAGTGAATGTGAAAAAAATTCAAAATGTCATTGTTGTAATGTATTCCAAGTTTCATCTGAAATATTATTTGTTCTAATTTCTTCTAACATATGATAATATTGGATATTATTATTTTGACATTGTGATATTTTTAAAAATAAAAGATAAAATAATTTCCAGGCAGTTGCATGAAAAACAGGTTGTCCAGTTATAATAGGAAATTGAAATAGGTCTCCATATTTCGGACATATATCAGAAATCAATTAGGTAGTTATCGGAGTGGCCGATAAGTAACTAATAGATCTTTGATATATGTCTAATAGGTGTAATATAAATATGTCAAGGATCTATTAGTCATCTGATAAAAATTAGGTATCCAATATATTTTTTAATTTTTTTAAAAAATTTTTATATTCTTGATAAGTGTATTAAATATAACTAATATTTATTCTGGTGTTTGATTTTTTGTAATGTATATCATGTACATGATTTGTTAAATATATATTGGACATACAGATATTAGGTATCTGATATTTATAGATATCATGTAGATAGTTATAGTTTTTATATTGTCATGATATGTGGATAATAAATAATATTTCTTTATTTGATACCTGATATTATTATTAATATTAAATTTTAGGTATCCAATATTTTAAAGCAAAAAAATAAGAAACCGTTTAACCAAAATCATAAATTCAATAAATAGAATTATGATAAAATCTGTAAGTTCTGTGTAACTTGATAATTAGTTTTTTTAAAAATTTTATTTTTATCTTTCTCTTTCTTTTTTTTAAAAAAAAAAATAAATAAAACTTATACTTACTCTTGTTTTTTGCCTTTACTTTTCCTCTTCTCCCTTTACCTTTCTTCTCCTCACTTTTCCTAGTTTGTGAAAATACTTGTGAGATTGAAATCGTCAAAATTGACTTTGTGAATATATAGTTAAAGGTAAGTTTTTTTTTTTTTTTTTGTTTTTTTTTAAAAAAAATAAATAAAACTTATATGGTGCAAAACATCTAAAGATATCAATTACTACAGTACCATTGAAATTTTATGGTTTATTGTTACATGACTTTCACATGATTTTTAGTGAAGCCAAAAAATTTTTTGAACCAAGACATGTGATTCTCACATGAATTGTGTTAGCGAAGTCAAAAAATATAAAATTTTTTTTTTTATCACCTTCTATACATATTTTATTTATTAAAAAAGTTCAGAAGATATTTTGAACTACCTCGGTCAGCTTAAAAGACTTCTATTAAATATAAAATAAAAGTATTTCTATTTCGTCCATCAGTAATTATATTAATTCAAAAACCTTCGAAATTATATCGCAACGTTAGATTTCGAAGGTTATCGATTGTATCGCAACCCTTCGAAATCAAAATTTAACGGTTAAATTTCGATATGTATTATTTCATTATCGAAAACCTTCGAAGTTCAATACTAAATTTTTTAACGATAACGTAAACTTTC